GTCTGTGTCAAGTGGAAAGAGTCCTCTAGCAAAGATACGGTCTGTGTCTTTGAGGTAGACCGCAGGCATACGCTATCAAACCAAAACAAACAGCGTCTAAAGCTGAGAGATGACAGACTTCCCAGCTGCCCTCTATGTCCATTACAGCACTGTTTCCTTTCTGCTTCTCTCCCACTGATGACACTTAACAACCACTTCCCATTCACGCAGCCAAACAACTTATATGGTTACCATTAATTCTATTCATGGAAAGTCAATGGAAGGTGATGAAAGTGGGCCTAAATAAGAGGATTGCCTTTTGTTCTCACTCTGTTTGGGGAGAGGCGTTATCTCCTGATACAATTTTCCAGAAGTTGATCCCGGTGGCGATGAGCTGGTTAAGTTTAGACAGACACCGGCGGTGTTAGAGCTTTCAAACGGGCTCTCAAACACGACAAAGCTGCTGCGTCCCCCACTTTTAATGACCTCCTCTAAATATTATCATGTGGTTAAACACAGTGTGTCACTCTGTCACTTAGCTAAGTGCCGCTCAGCCGTTTAAAGACAAGCACTGAGAGCATGAACAATAACACTGATGAAATGTAATTTTCTGTTTAAGTCCCGTCTGCATCAAAGCTGTGAAAAGAGCCCCGCGGAGGCCTTCAAGGACACGGAGAGGTGGCTGACATGCGTGCAGGGTAATGAAATCCCTTTATTAAAACGCACGTCGTCGTCCTCCTATGTGGCGTGGCCATTGAAGTTTCCATAATTGTGGAAGACACAAACAGGTCTCCACCCTTGAGCAGATTTATTTTCACACATGCTGGGTGAGGTGTCTGCGATTCCTCCCTCTGCCCTGTCATCGTTTGTTCTGCTGCTGAGTGTGAATGTGAGCAGAGGCTCGGCAGAAACTCTTATTATTTTTTTTATTTGAGGGCTTCTCCTAGCTTCGCCAAGGTCCACTTGCTGATGTCACAGCCATTCCACCGGTTTTCCAGACATCTGAAGCCTGCCGTGTCCATCTGAGGGCTTGAGAACCAGACCCCGAGGCTCTGGAGTTGTCTTCAGGAGTCAGAACATGTGGCCGTATGACGCAGAAATCCAGAAACGGCGTGCATTATTCTCCCTGATTCCAGTCTGACACATTCACGAATGTTTAATGCATCAAAACAAGACATTCCTCTGTGAAATTCATTGATGTTAACAGGTTAAATTTAGAATGCATTAAGCCTTTCTCTGCGCTGTGTTAAGGTAAATTACTAATGACACGCGTGACCGTAATCTCTGAAGTCATAGTTGTGTTTTCTTGTACTGGTCTGCTTCTCTAATTACTCGCGTGCTTATGTCTTAAATTCACACACACTCAACCTCATGAATAAACACCGCTTTTCCCGCACGCACACACACACACACACACACATTTTGTCTGAATGTGGGAAACTCAAAAAACAGAAGCTCTTTGATCACCTGGATGCACACCAATGACAATATGTTACGATGAGCGCAGACTTTCCAATATGAGCTCGGTATTAGCTTTGAACGGATGCACGCACGATGAATTCCCAGGTCCAGACGCTGAAGCATGCGGAGAATGAAATGGAAATCCTATCATACCCGATAGTGCATCATCTCACGGTGTTGCAGGAAAGCAGAAACAGACGTCAATTCTGCAAACACGCAAAAACAAACAATACCACTCTCTCCATTCTTTAGAGGCACTAAAATGAATCACCATCCCGAGTGCTTAGCATCATCGGCATTCTGTGAACCAGCCGTGACTGCAGACCAAACTTCATGGCAGAAGAGCCTCAGGGGTCAAATGAAATGCACACTCTAAGTGCCACTTCAGCCTCAAGGCAGCAGCTAAAGAGCAAACCGGTGCAACACCAGAACACTGCACGCCTCTCGCCTGCATGGTGGTTGATTATAAAGCCCACAATCCTTTGGCACTTTCCTACCACCACACATGATTTGCCCCACAAACGGGCTCTTCTCCTGCCCCTACTGTCTGTTTATGTAGACTACCACTGGGGCGGCAAGGAATGCACTCCTGCTTGCACACACATCTCTGACGGGGAGTTTGCCTCAACCTGCTGATACGAGCTGTTTGTGTTGTGCTTCCACACATGGGTAAATGTTATGATTAAAAGGCCGTTACTATTTTGCTAGTCACAATGAGTTTGTAGCAGAGGGGTTTTGCAGTCGTGCTGATGGATGGATTGCCGCTCCCTGCCTCCAGTGAACGGTTGAATGAGAGAGGAGCTGTCATCGCCTGGCTGCCGACACCGTGGCTCGCAGCAAGGAGAAGGCGGGGCGGCGGTGGGACCGGGAAGGCTGAAGGAGCAACCAGCTGGATGGAGAGCCAGCGAAAGACAACGTGTTGAAGTGGGAGAAGATATGAGGGAGAAGACTGGGCCTGGACTCAGACAGAAAGGGGGGAGGGAGCGTGTGTGTGTGAGATGGAGGAGAGGTCAGTTCTGGGTGCAGCTCACCTCACACCCGTCTCCCAGAAGGCACTGCAGAGAGGGGTCTGCATGACGTAAATCAGGAAAGGCAGGTGGTCCCGTGCAGAACACAGAGGCTCTGCAGGCTGTCTAAGTGGTCCCATGACGTGATGAGGAGTTTCACAGCACTCAGTAACGGGAAGACAATTACACTTGTCTTTACGCACTGTGTTGGACAAAAAACGTCAGAGGATGATGGCAGATCATAAATATGAAAAACAAAAACAATATATGACATTTTTTTTAAAAACTGAGGGTCAGGTCTATTAAAGCGGAGCGCTGCACACCTACAACCAATGTTCTGCAGCATATCCGTTTGATCTCACAAAGATGACTGTGGGCCAGGAAAACGCTAATCTGTGTTCAAACAAGTCTAATTACTCTAATAATTAGATACCTTGATGTTCACTCTCACTTATTCATTACATGTCGCCTCCTTTGTTGCGTGGATCAAAACTTGGAGAGCAGGTTCAAAACTGTTTGAGTCCAAACTCAGTGAGGAAAAAGGTGTGCTGAAAGATGCCTCAACTGTGGTGACCAAGCTGCAAGTTGTTGGTCATAGAAAGGTCTCACACCGCCCCCTGCTGGCGGGCCCCACAAACTACATCCTCTAATAAAACCAGTATCTTTAATTTTCTTCAAATGGCATGTGACAAAATAAAATTAGCAAACCATTAAACAGAAACAGTAAACTCCACCATCTCCTCGGTATTTGGGTGATTTCAAAGGTGGGTTTGAAAATTCCACTTTGTGAAGTAAAAAGACAAAGCTAAGGAAATATATCAAATGGAACAATAACATATTCCCTGAGACTTCAAAAACACATATTCAATAAAAGGTAGAGACCTGCTATAAACAAACTGGTATACAGATACTATGTTCTTTCCCCCCCCCCCCCCCCCCCTTTTTTTGTGTACTTACTGGTCAATAAGTACGTATTGTTTCTCCTGTCTCTAATTGTGGTACTTTTATTTTGTTTTTGTCCCTCGCATAGGCGTCATTTTAACCGGGGACGCCGGGGACATGTCCCCGGCAAAATTTGTGATTGGCAGCTGTGTCCCCCCCACTTTCAAAAAAGCCTGCCTTTATTGTCCCCAGCAATTTTTAAACCCCACTCAAGTGTATGGTTATTGTCCCCAGCAATTCTGAAAACAAACTGACACCCTTCCCTCGGGTACGCCACAGAGCTACTCAGTGCATGATACATTATGTGTAATGATGACAGCTCTATATGTGATCTATGTGAAACATAATAAAAATTAAGTAAAAAAAAAAAGACAAAGCTGTCAGCAAAATGGAGACTGTGCTTATTCACCGCCTAATTATAACAAAGTGTTACTCAGCTAGTTATTTCTTTTCTTACTGAATCTCTGGGTTGAATGAATGAATGAATGAATTAGTGATGCACCGATATGAAATTTTTAGGGCCGATACCGATATTAAGATCACTGTTATGGCCGATAACCAAAATTTGCCGATACCGATATACTGACATTAATGCTTCTAAAATCAGCAGATTTTGTATAGAATGAAAATTATTAAAGCTGAATCAATAATACGTTGTTGTGTACACACAACACCCACATTTATGGTTCTGAGGTGATTTCATTCACTGTTCACATGACTAAACAATTACACATCACACCCCTCACCCTCTGAAACAGGCAAACAAATAGAGATGAGATGGAAAAGATATTGGTTGTTAATGTCGGCCCAGTTTTATTTATCGAACTGATACCAATATGTTAAAAAATGACATCGGTCGATACCGATATTGATGCCGATCTAGATTGAATGAATGAAACCTTTGTGTCCCTCATCAGTGAAATTTATTTCAACTGGAGAACTCTAAATCAAGAAGAATGTATTCTTAAGTAGAAAAGTGACATAAAGGTATTAAAAGGTCCACAATGAAACTCATAAAAATGACAAACATGATAACAGCAAACTATTAAAACATGTTTTCTCTCAGTAAAAGAGCAGAATGAGATCAGATAGCCATACAAACACATTTGTATTGGGAAATCTTGACTTTACATTAATCTAGGAGGAATTCAAAGCTTTGTAGTTTTATATTTTTCAGTTAGGAGAACAATTGATTTTTATTAATTTGTCTATTTTAGCCTTACTTTGAAGTAACTTAAAACATGACTTAGATTTTTAAAAAAGTTGCTTTATTCAGTTGCTTTCTATCATATCAGATCCCTACTTTTGAAAGTAATATGACATTTAAAAAATCTGAAATTAAGGTAAGAAGATTCAAGCGCTTTTATTTTATTTGATATTTTGTAGCCATATTTATGTGAAACTTGGATATTGCGATGCCTCTTTATCCTTGAATTATTTATATAGATGTTACACGTTTAATTATAACATTCAGATACATAATGTCATGCTACAAATGTAAAAATGCAGTGGAAAAATGTGGAAAACCCGTGTCGTTCATGTGGCGTTACCTTCTTTTTCTGCTCTCTGACACTCAGTGCAGTAAATCGATCATCGATGCCGCTGATGGATAAATGCCAGGAATAGTAATGGAGAGCAGATTAAAGTGGCAGTATGATGGAATATGGCTCTCTCCAGAGGTTTGAGATGCTGTCAGACGGTTTTCTCCTGGATTCCCGTTTTGATTATAACCGCCGTCGTTTTGTGGTCGTATTATGCCTACGTTTTTGAGCTATGCCTTTGTGAGTATGACGGATTTTGTTTCTCTTTTGTTTCTTCACAAACATCGTAGATTAGCGCACAGCGGTGGCAACAATAACGTTATTGACTAGGTTGGAGCTACAAGGCGGAAGTTGCTTAAAAATGTTCGTTTAAAAAAATGAAGTTAATTCGGGTAATTAAAGTGGACCGAGATAATCCTGGTTTCATACGCACAATAAAATAGTGTGGCTAGTTCGTATTAGCTCAGGATTTTTGAGCAGTCAAACGTGTTTTATAGTGCATTCATTGTTCTTTCCTTTTTGCAGTTACAATCAGTAATACTTTTGAAAAAGGTAAGCTACTGCTTGTGTTTTATTCTAATCAGCGTGAACAATAAAAACTGAAAATGTCACTCATCCCCCCCACCTACCTTTGTCTGCCCGCAGTGGTTTATTTACTAGTGTTCCATGTCTGCTTTGTGATGTTCTGCTGGACTTACTGGAAGTCCATATTCACTCCACCTGCAACACCATGCAAAAAGGTAGCCTAGACAATAGAAATCTGATGAAATGTAAATAATTGTTATTCACTTGGACTGATGTGTGTGTGATTTTGTTTCAGTTTCAGTTGTCATACTCAGACAAGCAGAGGTATGAGATGGAAGAGAGGCCAGATGCTCAGAAACAAATTCTTGTTGAAATCGCAAAGAAGCTTCCTATTTTCACCCGAGCTCAATCTGGAGGTAAGGCACCCCGCCAGATGATCCAAACACCACAGCTGTAGGTCCAAACATAGTCCATCCATTGTCCCCAACTTAATCTGTGTTTGGTAAAATCAAGTAATACAGATTAATTAGTCGTGTGCTCTCTGGAGCATCTGCATCTTAAGTCATCAGGCAGCCTTTCTTTTCATTAGTGCTAATTGCTAACAGTAAGTTCTAGGTCGCAGGAACTGTGTGAAGGGGATGCTCATCTCGAATGTCGTCCATTCCAATAGCCGACTTCTTGTCTCCAGCTATCAGGTTCTGCGACCGCTGCCAGGTGCTGAAGCCTGACCGCTGTCACCACTGCTCCGTTTGTGAAACGTAAGCTTCTCTTTTCACCCCAATACATTCAGCTGATTGAGATTGCCCCGGGTGAGGAGATATTACGTGCTCTGGAGCTGTTGTAAAAGTGAGAAATTGTTGCTTTAAAGGCAGGTTTGGAAACAAGATCCCCAAGATCAATCACTGTAGTCCCTCAGCAAAAAGGAGACAGAGGTTAGCTGTCAGAGTATGGGTAAAAAGGTTTCAGGAAAAGGTGGTTGTAGGATACTTGGTTCTGATTAAAACAGTTCAGCAAAAGCATACGCTCAATATTTCTGAGTTTATAATGTAATAAATACCTCCAGTGTAATGTGTTTTTAATGCTAAAATGTCAAAATAATGTAGTAAAACTATGCTTATTTATTTATTTATTTTTGTTTAGATGTGTCTTAAAGATGGACCATCACTGTCCCTGGTAAGATGGAACTTATAATTGATTTAGAAATTTCTTTGCTCTTTTTTCTCATGATCGGACCCAAACATTGCGTTTTCCCCTCTCAGGGTGAACAACTGTGTTGGTTTTTCCAACTACAAGTTTTTCCTCCTGTTCCTCGCCTACTCCATGCTGTACTGTGTATACATCGCTTCTACAGTTTTTCAGTATTTCCTCAAGTTCTGGGTGGTAAGTGTTGCCATTCACCTGCTCATCCCCATTGCTGCTGTTGCTTCACATTAGCACTCACTAATTGGTACCAAAGTTCAAAGGTTAAAGTTCTCTTGTAGGGAAACCCCGGATACTTCCGGAATTCAAGCTCTCCTGTTGATCTCTCACAGGGGTACCTGTCAGATGGACCTGCAAAGTTCCACATCCTCTTCCTCATGTTTGTGGCACTCATGTTCTTTGTCAGTCTCATGTTTCTTTTTGGCTACCACTGCTGGTTGGTGGCGAAAAACAGATCCACTTTAGGTGAGCTTTACTGTTAGCATGATGGAGATTCTTCAGTTTCTGTGCAAATAAAAAAAAAGTCCAGTTTCATTTAAATCTCCTTTTCTTTTCCTGGTATAGAGGCTTTCTCAGCTCCAGTGTTTGTGAATGGACCAGACAGAAATGGCTTCAATGTTGGCGTACGCAGAAACCTGCAGCAAGTGTTCGGAGACAATAAGAGGATGTGGATGGTCCCGGTGTTCACAGGGTGGGTTTTCAGTCCAGGAACTAAACACAAGTAAAACCTCAAGTAGAGATTTATAGAGTTAGAACAGAACTTTTACATTTTTTTAATTAAATTCAACTTCATTATAGCCAGATAAGATGACAAAATATAACCACAGACATGCATAATTACAAACAACATGAAGAATAAATGAATAAATGGAATATAGTAAATAAGGGATAGACCATCAAAAATAAATATATATATATATATATATATTTGTCATTTTTATACGATTTAACATTTAGCAAATAGCTAGAGGTTTTCCATCAGTTTGAGATCTCGTACCATGTTAAGAGTTTGACAGCAGTTTTTTTCCTCATATGTTTCAGTGATGAGTAACAAAGTTTGGTCTAGGCCTTAAGAATCTGTTTTTATGTATAAAAAATATCCCTAAAATAACAATGGAGTTGATTACAATACAACCATACATAACATTTTCTATTTTTAAGTCTGGAATTGGTTCATATTTAGATTACCAGTGTTGCAGATCATCCCAAAAGGCATTCTTGCACATGCATTCATAGAATATGTGGTCTGTAGAGTCAATATGTTCGTTACAGAAACCTTTTATTAAAGGTGTGGAACACTGACAAAAACACTTTTTAATGATTATTTCTGATTTTCATCGGTCACTCGAGTTTTTCATGCAGGCTGAACATGAAAACAGTCCCCGACACCCATCTGCTGAATTAGCTTCTGATACAAACTAGATGGTGAAACTAGGATTAAAAAAGCCTGACTGATCTACATCACATGCTCACTTAACGTTCATGGACTCACCCATCTTGACTCGCGACGGGGAAGGCTGTTGTTGGTTTAGCGTCTAAGAAACCGCAGAGAACGTCTCAACTAGCAGGAGATGTTAGCATTAGCAACGTCACACAGCAGAACTCCTCCAGGCTTGTGTTATTTGTGGAGACACAACATCAACGTTGCAGAGGAAACAGAGCCAGTGGTAGAGTCGTGTTGCTGTTAGCCAATCCAAGGAGAGATGTCCACATATCAGGAAATAAGATTCCAAATCCGGTCTTCTGAAGCTACTTCCTCCTCCAGCTGAAACCTCCGTGCTGATAGAGGTGCTTCTGGGCTTTTTTTCTCCAGAGTACGACTTACAAGGCACTCATTCCTACCAGAGACCTCTGCAAATGTATTGATTAATTAAGTGTTCAACACCTTTAACATGAAAAGAATCATCTTGTGTTGAGATGTAGTTGTAGCTATTTTCAGCAAATGTTGAAGAATTGTATGTGGTACCTCATGCGAACGTGTCATTGTGAATTTCCCTAACCTCCATTTTCTTTTATGCTTCCTATTTAATGCCAGCCAAGGGAACGGCCACTACTTCCCTCTGAGGAGTCAGAACTCTGAATCTCACAACCCCTTACTGGCTAATGAGGACTTGTGGGAAGAAGAGTCAGATGACGGGTCTGAAGAAGGAAGTTTGGGTGAGTCCACTTAGACGTCACCACACAGACAGAAGAATCTCTAGAATGAAATAACTACCGTAAATCCTCTAATATTAGCCTGTATTTAATTAACTGCCGGGTATCATATTTTGGCCGGTGTCGGAGTCGGCGGAGGTGAATAATGGCCGTTTTTTTTTATTGTGGCCGGGTGGAATGTGGTAACAAGCAAGTAGGGGGGGCGGTTGTGTCATCCGTCTCACTTTTGATTTGCCAGTGATAGTAAGTAAGTAAGTAAGTAAGTAAGTAAGTAAAAGTGTATTTATACAGCGCCTTTCACAGATATAAATCACAAAGTGCTGTACAACATGATAAAGATCAGGGCAAATACCTCTAACCAATAAAAACCTCAGAAAAACAATAGCAGTGATAAACGTAGAAAATAAAATCATGAGTATAAACAAAGTGAAGGTGTGAACCCAAACAAAGCCATCTTTTTGAAACATTTAGGGAGGGAACGCCTGGATGAAAAGGTGAGTTTTTAGATGATTCTTAAAGACCTCTACAGTGTTAGAGAGACGGAGATTAGAAGGTAGACTGTTCCAAAGTCTGGGGGCAATAGTCTGAAAGGCCCTGTCCCCTTTGGTTTTCAGTCTGGTTCGAGGAACAGCCAGGAGGTTTTCAGATGTGGATCTAAGGTTCCAAGAGGTGGTGTGTGGGGATAAAAGCTCAGATAGGTAGCTTGGAGCCTGGTTGTTAAGAGCTCTATAGGTCAGGACTAAAACTTTAAACTGTATTCTATATTCTACCGGGAGTCAGTGGAGGGACTGTAAAACTGGAGTGATGTGAGCTCGTCTGCTGGATTTGGTTAAGAGTCTGGCTGCTGCATTTTGGATGGCTTGAAGGCGTGAGAGGGAGGTTTTGCTGAGACCAGTAAAAAGAGCGTTACAGTAGTCTAAGCGTGATGACACAAAGGCATGGATGATTTTTTCCAGATCTGCAGTAGAAACCAGTTTACGGACTTTTGAAATGTTTCTCAGTTGAAAGAAACAAGAGCGGGGGATGGTTTTGACGTGTGAGTCTAAACTTAAAGCTGGATCAAAAATAACTCCTAGGTTTCTAATGTTGGCCTTGGCTGATGGGCAAAAAGAGGCAATTTCTTGCTCGATTTTTGGCTGAAGTTCCGGGGGTGCAGCGATCAGGGTCTCTGTCTTGTTAGCACTGATAGACCGCGAGGGTAACTTTATCCGTGCGGAGACGAAGAGGAGGCGAAAATTTCATATCAAGTTCAAAGAGAACGTGCTGATTATGCTGCAGAACACTCTGGGGAGCAGTAGCAGGGGTTGTATGAACTAGTCACTAGTCGACTTCACCGCTCTATAGTGACTTTTTATGCCTGTCATTGACTAGTCGCTGTCACGTGATAATGACCGGCAAGATGCAGTTCACGGAAAAGACAGCAGCCTGCTGTCAGCAGGTGACAAGCTCCTGTGCGTCGGGGGGGGGATGGGGGGGCAACGCGCTGTGCCAGAGCGTCGGTACTGACACCCGCCGTAAGACGGACATTTAACCAAATTGTGACCTTTACCCTCTTGTTTAACATTCCCCTCACCCCCATCATAACCTTAACCAGCTTGCGCATGCAAAGCTCTGATTGTTGACGCGCTCCAGACATCTGTGTCCTGAGCACGGCCACAGTAACATTATCAAATCAGGTGTGGCCACCTCAAAAACCAATTTAACACGCGATCGTTCATGTCGGCTCATTTCCTTTTAAGTTTTCTGTCTTTTAGTCTTTTATTTGTGCCTGATGCGTTTCGCTGCTGTGGATCGGGGCACATCACCTGTTTTGTCCTCCGGTGACGAACCTAACTGATGTGGCTGGCGAGCACTCCGCTGTTTTTGCGGTCGGTAGATCTTTTAGAACTGCAGTTCAAAGGTAACTCATAAGGTGAATATATATGAACCCAGGTAGCAGTTTCTCTTTAGGATTGAGAGGAGATGCAGGAAGATGATTAACAGAGACAGGACAGAAAAATAGTCAAATTAAAACAAGTTAGTTTTTGTACCTGCTGTTGCAACAAACAGACACCATTGAAGGTAACAGAAGTGAGGAACAGAAAATGAAATAATTATTTTAATGTTTAGAGCAGCAGGAACTCCGAGAGGCTGCAGGCGAATCAGTGAGTTTGCGGCCGCTGCGCAGGGGGAGGGGGGAGAGGGCTGAAGCAGGAACTACCGTTGTTAAAAGAAATGTGTTTAACTTTGAAAATGTGGGCGCAATTTTAATTGTCAAAAACTCCAGCGAACCATTAGTTCATTTTGCTCAAATAGATATAGAGGCCTGCCTCTAATTCTGGCCCTCCTTCCAATAAAGGCCTGGAGCTTGATGAGCTTGGGTCAAATACAGGCCCGGGCCTGTATTAGAGGATTTACGGTATTAAACCATCCGGGACAGAGCTGACCTTCTAAACGGGGTCAACATTTCCTGTTAGCAGGGCTTAATCCTTGTGTGGAGTTTTCCCAGACTACAGTAATAAACTCATAAAACACAACAAATGCACAGCAATTAGGAGTTTTGGCTGTTCTTTTTTTTTCCCTTGTTCTTCCTTTATCAGTGGGTCCTTAACTCTGACTCTTATCCACATGCTGTAATGGATTAGTGAATGATTTCACCTGGTTGTTTCTATGGTTACAGGGGCTGGATGAATTGGATTATAAATCACATAAACATGCAGCTGAGGCCTCGTGCATTTTTCTGTCAGTCTGTAAAACTTTTTTTTATAAAATAATTTCTACATGCTGCCTTCAGGTTTCTCTGGAGATGAGCTGAATTTACAGCTGATGCTGCGCTGCCCCCTGGTGTTCACATCAAACGTCTTCAGCTCTGATCACCACTAGAAGAAAAATGATGTTTCTTTTCTGACTTTCACTCATTTTCTCATTTCAGTGGAGGACCACGACCTCTCTGTTACCATAGAGTTGGAGGAATAATTACACTTGTACGGAGGACGGAAACGTTATTTTTACATCACACTTGATGAGGAACGTGAAGTCGGTGCATTCCAAAAAAAGAGCAGATCACATCCTGCATTTGGATCAACAGATTTGCCAACTTTTCTCTGACGTTTATTGAAAAGATCAACAAAGGAACTCACTGGATAACGAACGGCAGCTTAATCTCTCCTTTCACTGCTGGAAAATCTGTTTTATTCAGAAAGGAACCAACAGAATTAGTCTGAAGCAGATGTGTAATAATTTGCTAGCTGAGGAAACATCACGATGCTTCTGTTTTAGACTCGAATGCAGCGTTGCTCCTTAGGGCTCAGTCTTTGCAGCATGGTATTTAAACTGAAGTATTTTATTATATTAAGATTTACCTTCTGAGTTTTTGCATTTAGCATGAGCACATTCATAAGTGTGACTGGACCAGCGCCTTACTTGAGTGTTCCTCCATGTCGGGACTAAATGCCTCCAGAGAACGTATCGAGCTCATCAAGAGCACATGTCCACCATCGTGTTCCTGTTTTGACATCCTGTTGTAGTTGGAAAGCCGTTAACATGTCTAATTAGACATTCATATCAGTAACTTTTACATCTGAGGGCACTTAAACTTGGTTGCTTTGTGGTTTATTAATCCTTATTTTCTGTATAAGAGCTGTCAGACTGACAGGGTTGATTATTCCTAATCATAGCTGGCGGTCTCAGTCCCTTAACTACATAATCATGAATCTGGTCCTCGTCCACTGGCTGGTGGAGGGCAGTCCTCTTCTGCAGTATGATGTTTTAGATTTGTTTATGCACAGGTTAAAGCTTAATACCATGTAAAGAGATTCTGTTAAGAGTATTTATTTCTGTAGTTTCCGTGCCTAACACACTTTTATACATTTGGGCATGAGCAGTTTGAACGGTTTAAGAAAAGCTTCAGTTTTAAAACTGAACATATTTTATGGTAAATTTAACTTTGATCTAAAATGTTCTTTGTCTATAAAGTCATGATGACTTCTGTCAGTGATGAATGATTCCTATGGTCTTGTCTATTTATTGATATGTCGGGTTGATTTCTGTGTATTGAGTCTTACCTGCTGCAGGCAGTCTCTGTATATTTTGGTTGTTTTTGTGACACTTTAGATGTATAAAGTACTTTTATTAAATAGTAGGAATATTAAAAAAAACATAGGACGGTTGGCAGATGAGAAAACGTGATGGCACTTCCTGTTTAGCGGTGATCGTGGTGCTTCCCCGTTTTTACCACTAAAGATGAAACAAAAACCTCAATACTCATATTTTCTGTTCTGTCTGTAAACAAATATAAATCCTTTATTGATCCATCAGTTAACATGCAAAATAAAATGTTCCAACTTTTAATCTGGTTTCTCTACAGCGTGAAATCACAGCAAAAAGCAATAAATACAAAGAATTTGACTGATCACTCCGACTCGGCTTAGGAACAGTGAGGAGCAGTTTATGGCACTACAAGGAGAAGATGAGATAATAGAAAGTAAACCCAAAATAGACCCAGAGCAATTTACTGATCATGATCCCAGTCAGGTTTCAGTCAGTGCCAAAGTATCTCTGTCCAAAATGTGTTGGAGCGACGGGATGAACCTCTGTGGTCAGGATGGTGATCTCTGGGAACTCCTGGATGATGGACCTGGCTCCTAAAGGATGAAAAAACAGTTCCATCAGGAAATGTTAGAAACTCACTGGAGCTACAGAAACCATCTGGAAACAATTTATAACTTTGTATAAGTTGTTTATACATTTATCACCACATCTCCATAAAAAAATGTTACAACTATTTAAAATAAAAGCCAACTGTAGTCACTCAGCATAAAGCCTATTCATATTATAACCTCCAGCTGATCATTATCCCACACTTCCTCATGTACTCCAAACATTACAGACTGAGTGCAGTTTAAGGCCTTAGATCTAGTTTAGTTTCAGGAGTAAATCTAAACCTGATCGCTTCACAAGAGGAAGGGTCATGAAGTTAAAGCAACCTAGAAATCCTTCTCAGACACACCCTAAAACATCCTGGGTTAAACATGTATTAGTTACATTGGTAAGACTAATACAGCATCAGACATGAAGACTACAAAGCAGACACCCAAGTGGACATGAGGTGGGTAGGTAGATCAGGTTTTGAGCATTCATTGAAAGAGGAAAAAAAAAAAGTTTAAGAAGTGAATTCACCATGAGGAGTTGAGAAGAGGCTGAGGAGGATAATATGTTTGGGCTGGACTCCATGCTCTATCAGCACCCTCACCGCCTCAATCACGGTGTTCCCTGTACCTGCGGAGACGGAGCACGTGAGGTTAGACTTCATCCCTCTGCTTACAACATCACTGTATCTTTGTGCTGATTTAAAACTTGCAGAGTCATGTTTACAACAGATCTGGGAGTCTTTAGGCTCCTCGTGCTCTGATTCAGGATGTTGTGATGCAATCATAAACAACCGTCGATGCATCTGTCTCCCCTCTGTGTTTTAAAACTGTTTCAATTATCTACAAGTCTAATTATTGTTTAAAAAAATACCTTTCTAGGTAAAAAAAAAAAAACTTGACTGAAATCCCAGAATTCCTTCAGTTATAACCATGGACTCCATCTTATGTAGTGTTCTGTAGCTTCATTTATTTAAAGGCAGAAAATTAAGTCTTGATGAAGGAGCTTAAATCACTCATTTGGATTTAATTTAATAACCGTTTAGTGGATTACATTCATTATACTTTGGGTCCAAATATGAACAAAGCTAGTTTCTACAGACAGACAGAACCTCCTTTAGGTTTTTATTATTGTTATTTAGGATGTTTATTTTTGCTCTTCTTTGCTTCTGGTGTGAATGTAATTGCTTCTGTGGCAGCCCAAATTTCACAACTGCAGGCCAATAAAGTGATTTTCTATTCTATTCTACACTATTCTATTCTCCCATACAGGATTAAAAACTGTTTATGGTAAAAGTCCAAACTGACGCAGCATTTTAGAGTTCCACCCTTCACGTACCTCGACACTGATTTATTAAAGGTCTCATTCACTCGCCGTTTTCAGTAAGTCTGCTCTGGTGAAAATGAGTGCCTTGTGAGTCTTTTTCTGTGGAAAAACGCTCTGGCGCTCCTGTTCCAGAAGTGGAATTCAGTTAGGGGCGTGAGGAGTGAAAGCGACAGTATTACAGTCATTATAACTGACATGACAACATCTCGCCTCCCATTGGCTAACAGCAACATGACTCTTCCGCTGCCTCCGTTCAGTCTGTTGTTCACAATGTTGATGTTTTATCTCCAAAAATAACAAGCCTGAAGTAGATCTGCTGTGTTGTAGAGTTGCTAATGCTAACGGTTAGCTTCAAATAGCCAAGACACACTCTGCTCTCTCCTGGCGACAAAAATCAACACAGCCTTCTGTGGTACAAGCCAAGGTGCATTCAAGGAGGCCATAAATACTCATTTTCTTTGGGATGTAGAAGAGTCTGGCCTTTTCTGACCTGAGTGTTTCCTGTCTATCTCTGTTCTGCAGCTAATGAAGGCGATGGGGGCTGAACAAGATTTTCACCTTAAGCACGTAAAAGCAACTCTGAGTAACTGATCAGGTTTAAAAAAATAAACTAAAACGTTTTACACGGTTTTTCAGTGAACAAGACCTTTGTTTGATTTTTAATCGATTCAGAATCATTTATAATCGTTAATGTGATGCACAAGCTAATAAATATTGTTCACTTCCATCTGCCACTGTCTAAAGGAGTGGGCTTTGAAGTCTCAGTCGGCTTCAGCGGCTCAGCCTCACGCATCAATTAAAGCCCATGTTCCACTGCTCTGACATAATAAAATGTACCTTCAGCCAAGCCTTTTCACCACCATCCTTTTTAAAAGTGAGAACAGAAAAATGTCGCTTTATCACATCAGGAAACCGGGACTATTAAGATACTATTTTTGCTGGCCCTCATTATGCTATTCAGCAGCCTGGTGGCTAACTCCTCGGCAGTGTATAATTTCCCCCATGAGAGCTATAATTATCAGAGCAGTGTGAATGGGCCAATACGATGTGGAAATGCAGACTTGGCGGTGAAGGTCAGCTCAAGGGAGACTTCTCAGAATGAATAAATACATAAAATGTTTTTTGCATTTGCACAAAATTAGACATGTCTCGACATTTACGTGCAACTGAAGGTGGTTAACTTGAAAAGCAAAGTGCACCCACTCGGCCTGCTTTTACTTACTGAGAATGGGGTACATGAGCAGTACTTTCCTTCGGTACACGTCTGGGGGGAACTTAGCGTAGTAGACTTTTGCTTTTTGAGTCTCCTCGTCACTCTGGATGAGGATTTTCCCGATGCGGATGGAGCGGCAGCAGTCCCTGAGACCTTGCTCCATGGCCTCACCTGTATGGTACAGATAGTTTATTTATTTATTTTTTTTTTACGTTAGTCTCAACTGGGCTTTTTCTGGGACATTCCATACATTTACAATGTGTGTAGCTCTACAGACAAATACTGTGGCAGATCCGCTAAATGAGTGAAACCTGCCCTTCATAAAAGAAAGAGTGTGTGCTGCAGCAGGTTCAACTCACCACTCCTCATAATGCTGACTCCACAGTTACCTCTTTCAAACTTGACACCTTCATACTTGTACCCTGAGGGTTAAAATGAAGCAAGAACAGTCCCAAATGAACATGACAAAGCCCACTCAGGAATATATTATTGTGGAGGTAAAAGGCTACAGGAAGAGTGCTGTGAACTTGTTTCTGCATGTAAAACTTTTAAACCCAACTCATCAAACCTGACTTCATTATTAAGGAGATACTTACCCGTTGGAGTGGTCACAGTGCACTCTGAGAAGGGGAGCTGATTCAAACCCTCTTCAACGACCAGTCTGATCTGTTATTAAACACAGGGAATGATTATGTAGTTCATACTTTTATAGACACGGAGTTCCACAATCTAGCAGCACTTCTATGAACTTACCAGTCGGTCCGCACAAAAAACAAAATCACCTCTGCTGGTTGTTCTGTAAATACAAACATAAATTTGATCAGGTAGGATTGGGTTGTTGTTTGATTCTCAGCACTGCTCTGATGCTCTAAATTAAAACGTATTATTCTTAATCGTGTTTTATTAATCTAGAGGTTGAACAGGACTAGCAGTTCAACACTGATGGTGTCCTTAAGAAGGGCGACATTTTTATTTCAGAAAATGCAGATTGATAAAAGGTGCGGAACACTGATAAACCATTTTAATGAATATTTCTGAATATAATCGGCCACTGACTTTTTCATGCAACTCTAGGATTTGAAGAGCCTGACAGATCTATGTCACGCATTCATAGACTCGCCCATCTTGGCTCGTGAGGAGGAGCTAACTGTTAGCATTAGCAACACCAACACACAGAAAAAACGCTTTCAGGCTTGTGTCATTTGTAGAGATAAAATATCCTCATCATCATAAGTCAGTGTTAGAGTTGCACTGCTGTTATCCAGGCAGATGTCCAAATATCAGGAAATAAGACTCCATATCCTGCTGTGGTCTGCCACTCTCTCAGGCAGCAAACTTGTCGATGCTGACCAAGGGTTTCTGGGCTTTTTTGCCCCGAGTACAGCTTGCAAGGCATTCATTCCTACCAGAAACCACTGCAGATGTATTGATTAAAAGAGTGAACTAGGGCTAAACGATTTTAGGAAAAGATTGAATTGCAATTTTTCTAGCAGAAATTGTGATTTTGGTTCAATTCACGATTTTCTGCAAACAAAGGTCCAACATTAGCCTGCCAGGCCATCCTGTAGATTATGTGAAAAGATGGTCTAGATTCTAATCTCGTACAAATCATTCTCATTAATATTTACTATTTAATCATACAATAAAAACAGATTAAGCTATTAATATTTTCTCCCATTATCATCTATTTTTTAATTTTTAATGTGTTTGTGAAGCAACTTGTGTTTGTGATTTTTATCTAGAGAGGAGCTTTACAAAAACATGTTCTACTCCAAAAATGCATGGAGGAAATCTGTAGGTAGAAATAGCTTTTAAATGTATTAAATAACAAAAAATGCACACAGTTTTCCCTGCATTACCGAGGCAGGCTGGCTGCATGTTTTTCGAAGCTGTCTATAGTTTTTCCTCACCAAAACGTTTGTTCCGTGAGAGACGCACGCATTCTGAACCTTAGCTTGTTTGAACTAACGTGTGCCGTCAGAAACATTCAAACCATTTTTAAAAGAGAAGTTGAACTTTCAAGTCAACTACAGTGCACGACTCCGCACTCGCGCTGATGAGGCTGAAGTGAAAACTCCCCCCTCAGAAGAAACGTGGAATGCGGCTGTCGCTATGGTAACTTCTCCCTATCCCAGCCCGGGCCGGACTGTGACCGGTGAAGGCCGTGGAACGGTATCTAGGAGTCACTGTGCCCTCTAACCCATTATCTCCCTCCCCTGTCCAAACGCGCTGCTCTGCGGCTGCACGCACCGAAGTGAGGAGAGTCCCAACCCTACCTCCTCACCTAGTGGACACTTATGTTGTGTAATGTCTGACGTTTGTGAGCATTTCTGTCTGAGGTGGTTTTTTTTGCATAGCAAAGCTACCCTCTCTGGTAAGGGTAACTCTGAAGTGCCTTTTTTCCCCCTCCCCCTGACTCTATCCTCATATAAACCCTCTTGATCTATTACGGTAACTCGACTCGGGTTACGAATGACCACAGTCACCAATTCTTGTCATGTGTGTGTATGTATGTATGTATACATGTCTGATCTCGGAATTGTGTGTACTGAAACTCTAATTTCCCTCTGGGATTAATAAAGTATTATTGAATTGAATGAAGCATAAACCAAGCTTTAGAAGTCAGCCTGAACCTGCTGATGTGGGAGGAGTCTCTCTCTCCCTTACTCAACTACGTTCTCTCTCTCTCTCTCTGTCCCGGGCTCACCTACGGTGCCATTATTATGGGCTCTAGCAGCGCTGTGTGTGGAAACATAAAACAGGGAAAATAACCTGAACACGCAGCTCTGTCAGCTGTAGAGCTGGGCTTGGCTTTGGATGGTACACCCCACCCCCCTCCCCCACGCTGGCCTTTGCCGCCGCCATAACACAGGGGGAAAACTCCGGATGTAAAAAAAGGTTACACAACTGATCCTGGATCAGTCGAAACCACTAAAACTGCAGCTTTGACGGTCTTGAGATCGTGCTGTTTGAAATCGCAATTTCGGTCCAAAAACGATAGATGGCTCAGTCCTAGAGTGAACTACACCTTTAATGAGTGCAATAAGACAATGGGTATCTTTTAGGGGAATCAATGGCTCAGGGGTTAGAAATTCACTGTAAAACTGGTGGGTTGCAAGTACGAACGCATGCTCCATGCGGCTCTGTCATGTCCTTGGGCACACTTCACCCTCCTAGCCTGCTGGTGGTGGTCTTATTTGACGCCTGTGCTCAGCAGCATCACCTGTCAGTGTGCCCCAGAGCAGCTGTGGCTACAATGTCACCAGTGTGTGAATGAATGAATGAATGATGAAGTGTAAAGTACTTTCAGAGTCCTCTGATTCTGAAAGGTGCTATACAAGTACAGGTCAGTTATCACTTATCCTAAACAGAACAAAATGCTCTCCATCATGGATAATCCATTCCACTTCGTTCAGGATTCAGGACTACCTACTGACACGCTGGAGCTCGTTTTATTTTTTATTTTTACCAAATTCATTTAGCTCCGCTGTTGTAGAGCATTTCAGGACATTACTCTTGACAGGTGATTGTTCCACTTCCTGAACAAACAGCTAAAACCATATAATCTATGTGGACTTGCCTCTAGCAATTCCACACTGTATCACTCTTTGCAGAAACCAACTAGACACCATTCTAGGCTTCTGCTCGTTTTATAATAATCTGCATCTTTTCTTGTATTTTGGGTTCCACTTATTTTTTATTCATATATAGAACTTTGACTTCTGCCCTTTACATTATCTCGTGTCTGTGACGGTGACAAAAGAATTTCCCTCTGCGGATCCATGAAGTATATTAATGTGTAGACCAACATTTTAAAGGGTGACAAAACACTATGAAGTCTTACTAACATGCAATTCTTGACGCTTCATGATATGTTATAAATAAGGATTAATCACATTTATGGAACCAAAAGCATTTGATGTTCTGACTATAGCAAATTTACTTCCAATATTGATAGAATCACAAAAATATTCTCTTTTTTAGCTAAAATTAAGATACGTTCGCAGTGATTTAAGCATGCAAATGTGTGTTTTTAACGAGTCCTACATATATAAAAATAAAATGCACTTTTATTTACTGATGTTTTCTTTTTCTGATGGTATTTATTTTTACATTTGAGTAGCATTTCTCCAGTATGAGCAGGAACTCACTTGTCTCTGATGATGGTCTGCAATTCCCTGATCTGGTCGTTCAGAGGAAGCAGTTTAAGTTGAGGTCCCAGGTTGTCTTGGCTGTTGTCGGGCTGCTGCGTGAAGGTGTCACCGGTTGGTTCCGAGCTGCTCAGAGCCGCAGGGGCACTGCTGCCGGTGCTGTTCGCAAAACGGACTTGCTTCATCGGGTGCTCCTGTCCACTGCTGACACTGTTCATTTGCTGATTGTGGCATGGCATCTTGAGAGTACAGAATCAGATGTTTTTTTCCGCTAAAGCCAGTTAGCTTATGTTATCCAAGCACGACTTTCTGACCCAGTTGTCTGTCAACGGTCGGAGACAACGTGCTCTTCCTTTAGCTTCAGCTGTGGTGTTTACGCTCTTACGTCACTACCGCACCGACAAAACTATAAAAAACGAATTGAAAAACATTTATGTACAAAAAATAAACATACACGTTTAACAACTGTTAAACATCCATAAAACGTGTGGTGGCAAGTTCCACCGTTCGCCCGCTAGCAATGACACTCCGCTAAACGAAGGCCGGATGTGACGTGACGTACGTACCCGGTAAGTAGTCTTCCTCCTTCGTCAACATGGCGCCGATGTTGGCGCCGCTAAAATGCGGCTACTATCTCCAAAGACGAAAATTAGCGCTTCTTATCCGCCAGACAAGTTCATTTCACGTTTGGAGTAAAAGTCGCATTGAAGACGGGACACACTGTACTCGTCAGAATACATATGTGGTGAGTTATAAGGCGGTTAGCCCAAGAGGACACTATGTTTTCGGACAAGGACAGAGAATAAAAGTGCATTTCACTAACTTTAAAAAGAGGAGGACCAAAACATTTGCTAATTTTGGTTTAGAGTTTATGGGCTGATTGAAAATGTGGTATGTGGAACGTGGAAATGCTGTTTGCTAAGCTTGGGTTAGTGTCATACATGTATAAGTCGTGCCACTTGTTTGCGTGCGTCATTAAGCATCGTGTTTTATTAAAAATGTGTAGCCAATTGTCAAGAGGACGCATCACACTGGTTGTTTTCGGACGCGTAACCTTGCAACAGTGGTCACACTCAGTCATGTGTTGTCAGAGCTGACGGGTCTGATAAGACCATCTGTCCCACCCGGGCCAACTGTTGTTGTTTCTGATTAAACCGCCTTCTCTTGACAACACGAGGATTGCTTTATTCACTAAACTCGGCCTTCAGTTTAATTAGAACATTTCATTCACGAAGCGCTCAGGCTGGGGTAAAAGCGAAAACCACGTGACCACATAACGTAACCAACCTATCATGTTTAGTAGAATTATAAACAAAATGATAACTATTACAAATAAACTATGGACAGCACTGGAACGTTTTCATTACTTGAAAATCTTTCAAACACACTTGAACTTACTCCGAACACCTAGCTCTTAGCTGCTGTGACAATGATTTTTTCCTAAAGGGACAAATAAAACATTTCATTCATTTAACAATTTGCACATCTGGATTGGAGTTTGTTTTTTTATTTTTTTGTACTCTTTTGTTTCCCCATTTGCTTTTGCAGATCATTTTCACTTTTGTAAGAAACAATGCTGGCTGTTGGTTGGTCAGCCAGTAGCAGATCTCTCCAGAGAGATCTGACACCTGTTTTAGGTCAAGATCATAACTAGGGGTGGGGAATGAGAACCATTTCCCACTGTTTCAATTTCTAGGAATCGTTTCACATTTTTTGCAAAAAATTCCCCTATCAATTCCAGTCGGCGCGAATGATGTCAACATACACGTTGCGTACCTTATGCGTTTACTCAGCAGGAAACAAGGCGCTTAAGCAGCACAAACGCTCAAAAGTTTGGTTATACTTTATGAGAATTTATGACAAAAGGGCAACTTGCAATACTTCAAAGTAGATATTTCATCAAATGGAGGAAACACTATGAATATGAAAAAGTATTTGCGCACAAAGTACATACTAACTTTAAGTGAATGTTGTGTTTTTGACCCGCTCTGGACTAGAGAATTTCAACATAGCAGTGGTGATGTTTGCACGTCCTCTCCTGTTAATACTGCAGGTAACTAATCTGCTAACATTGCCCATCATGTTGGCATCATTTGCCTTAAAAACGCACCTTCACACTAGCAGACTCCAGCGTCTAAAATCCAACCTGTGGTGAGACTTTGCCAGTTTTGCTAAAGAAGATGACTCTTCCTTCACAAGGACCATAAAAGAGAACATTTGCAGAGATCTTTCCAAAGTTACCAGATACAATAAACTGACAGTTATAATGCAGGAGACAGTGTGTAGTTAATTTGTTGCCGCCTATTAAACAACTTAGGAATTGATAAGAGAATTGGATCGATAGAATTGACAATGGCATTAATATTGATTAAAAAAAACTATAATGTCCCACCCCTAATCATAACTTGGCCTCAGTGACACCCATAGTGAACTTCTGTCCTGTTCTCTGTTGACTCAGTGTGCTGAGTCATTGTCCTGAAAGAACATGCACTCTAGGTGTTCTAGGGAAAGGTCTTCACTAAGGAAATTATTGAGCTTTGTCCTGATCTGTGTTTAGTCAACTCCAACCAACTTTCCCTTGTTTTTTATTTTAAATTATTTTGTTTGTGTCACAAAGTCTGGAACTGATGTTTCAACAGTTCAGTTTTAGTTTAGTCACAGCGTTTTAGTCATGTTTCTTATAGGAGTCAAACCAAAAAGCCCTGTTCGCCTGAGCCCGTCTGTTCAAGTGATTTAAAAAAGTTTTAGATGCAATTTGCATTTTGCTGTCAAAAGTGATCTTTTAAGAGGGTTTAGACGCAAAATATATGTTATATATATATCGATAGCTGCCAGTTTGCAAAGGAATGATGCCAACACCCAAAATATTTGGTATTCTTTTGTATATTTTATGCAGATATGTCATCAAGTAAGAAGAAAAACATCCTATTTTTGCTACTAACATTTTCCATACATGTGTATTTACGTTTTCACAAAATACCAATTGGATGTCACGTGTGGAGTTTACAAAAGCGTTGCATGAGTTGTATTGTTGTTTATAAGAGAATAACATGTAATCTGTTATTTTTTCCCTCGTGTTCTTTTTGATTTCATTCTGTTAAAGTGAAAAGAAAAGTAAGGGGTATCCTCTGTGTTTCAGCCAAGCTCCCTCCCACACCTACGGACAGCAGCATGGAGCACAAACAAAACACAAAACTGTCGGCAAATTTTAGAGGCTGCAAAAGTAAGTGTGTTTTAACACAACACTATTATCTCAATAAAAACATGGGATCACAATGCTCTTCTGTTGATGTTTTGCAGCACTTACAGGTGACTGAAAAGCGAACATGTTGGCATGGAAATGCAGGCGGAGGTCTGAGTGCAGATCCACAAAATGTGGTGAGTATTAACCTCGTTTTGGTGTGTGATGGGTGAAAGATCTATGCTGCTTTGTTTTAGGATCAAGGTAAACTTTAAAATGATCGACAGGCTGGTTGGTGCTGCATCTACAGTGATGCGGACCATGTGCTGGTCTGGTCTGTGGTGGTGAAGAGAAAACTCTGGATTTACTGGCCGATCCGTGCTCCTACCCTCATCTATGGTCAGGAGCTTTTGGTAGTGACAAAAGCTGAGTTTTCTCCGCAGGGTGTTTGGGCTCTCCCTTAGAGATAGGGTGAGAAGCTCGATTATCCAGGAGGGGCTCGGAGTAGACTTGCTGCTCCCCCACATTTAAAGGAGCCAGTTTAGGTGGTTCAGGCATCTAGTTAGGATGCCTCCTAGACACTTCCCTGGTGAGGTTTTCCGGGCACGTCTAACCGGGAGAAGACCTAAAGGAAGACATAGGACACGTTTGCTATGAATCAAAAGGGTAAATTTTTCACCATCTAATTGACACAGCATAACCTTTCATACACGCCAGAAACCGCAAAGTCAAGGCTGCACCAGCTGGAGGATCCAGACGCACAAATCAACCCTTTGCTCACTTATTGTTCCTCAACGTAGACGTAAACAATCTGTCCCAAGGTATGCGTAAAAGCCAGACTGCTGAATTCCTCACTATCTACTGGAAGCTCCTACAGGATTTTGTAGTTATAAGTTAAATCATCATATGTGATTAATGAAAAAGATGTTTAAATGAAATGTTTAAATAATCTGTGCTTAAATCAATGAATTTGAAATGAATTCGCTCTTACAATGATCCATTTCGGATCTTATGATCAGTATGTGTTTGATTTAACAAGTTAATCATTATCTACACTCATACACATTACAATAAGATACATATTAAGGTTAATATTAACCTCACATAAGTGTTTTAAGACACTCTCATTCACAAAGTGTTAAAACCTTTTGTACCTAGAGAAGGCGTGTCTTTCTGAGGGATGTTGGTAAAACTTCAAGACATGGCACATTCTGATTTGCCACAATACGCCAGAAATGATAAATAATGAGTTTATTAAAACAGAAGTAACTTCCCGACTAATTCAGTTTCTAGCTGATTCCCGAACCGGCCAATTCGGGACAAGCATCCTTGAGACATCTCCTTTGACATACAGTCAAAAGCCTGTTTGCAAGCTGGCACAGCCAGACGGCTCCCTAAGAGCCACATCCACTTTGGACACGAACAAGCGTTCCAGCTGCTGTTGTGACCCGGAGACTTCCCAAGACTGTATGGGTCGTACCGGATGTAATCTACGGGCTCCATGTACCGTGAGGTCGAGGTCCACCCGACTTTGTACGGTCTGGATCTGCTGGGCGTCGCCACCAGGGTTTGTAGGCACAACAGATTGCGTCAGGTTGTTTTATGCGTTTTAATCAAGTCTCTAGTTCAGGGGTGCCCAATCCTGCTCCTTGAGGGCCGGTATCCAGCATGTTTTAGTTTTAATTCAGCTTCAACACACCTGATTTCAATCAGCAGGTGATTAACAGGCTTCTGCAGAGCCTGATGAGATGCTGCACTGGTGATTCAACCAGTTAATCGAGTGTGTTGGAGCAGAAAAACCACAAAACCTGCTGGATACTGGCCCTCCAGGACCAGGATTGGGCACACCTGCTCTAGTTTATAGCAGACAACAAATTATTTTACACTCAGATTTCACAATTTCTTTCAGATACAAAGAAGGTTCTGATAAACATCTAGCTTACACCACACCACCTCACACATCACATTCCATCTCCGCATATTCACTACATCGCATCTCATTATTCATATCTTGTCATGTTATGAATCAAAAGGGTCAATTAGATGGTGAAAATTTGACCCTTTTGATTCGTAACACGTTTGAGGGACTATGTCTCCCGGCTGGTCAGGGAACACCTTAGAATTCCCCCTGAGGAGCTGGCTCAAGTGCCTGAGGAGAGGAAAGTCTGGGCGTCCCTGCTTAAGCTACTACCCCCCGACTCGACTCCAGATAGGTTGCAGAAAATGGACGGATGGTTAAACTTCATACAGCAAATACATGACAGTAGTTAGCAGCAGATGTCAAATAAAAAATGTGAAGGAATTTCGGATTCAGTGGTTTATGTGAGTCACTTTAAGATTCTATAGTTTACCAACAGCAACATGTTATTTCTGTTGTACCACTGAACACAGGGCGCCAGCGCTCGGCAGCCTCACCTCTGTCAGTGCACCCCGGGGGCAGCTGTAGCTACATCGTAGCTCATCCCCACCAGTGTGTGAATGGGTGAATGACTGGTTGTGTTGTAAAGCACCTTGGGGGATTCCAGGACTCTAGAAGGCGCTATATCAAATACAGGCCATTTACCAAAAGATCTTTTTAACCCTTTAAGCACCAAAGTGGCAAAGTTGTGTACTGTACTCTCAAGAAAGCAAGTGTCATTGCTGACTTAAAAGAGCTACAGCTGCAAGCTGTCACACCCTGTCCTGTCTCCCCATTTGGTTCAGCCATGTGTCTCTGTTAATTGCGCTCACCTGCCTCTCGTTTTCCAATCACCCAAGCTCCCAGCCCTCTTGTATTTAAACCCCTTCAGTTCTGTGTCTCGTGTTGGATCATTGTTTCTATGTTAGCGTGTTCTCCATTAAAACCTTTAATCGTTCCTGTGTACCTGCTTACCTGCTTCCCTGGCCCGCATATGAATCCTTGCATCCGCTTCATTCACCGCCATGTGCTGACACAAGCATGATCCCTCATGAGGTTACTACTTTACACCAGAAGATATTGGAGATGTCTATCTTCAGTAGCCTGAGCAACACTATGGGTGGATTTATATTGAATGTTTCTGAGTGTCTAAGAGTTTGAAAACCGCCTCCCGCAGGGAGGCTCCTGGAGGACGTGAGGAGGAGACGAACTCAGCACACGTGGGGTGAATATTAAAGGGAAAAACTTACAATTGGTGACAGGTCTGGTCATTGTTGGCTCCCTTTGTCTGGTAATGTCTGACTCCAATTTAGAAGATTAGAAGGAAAGAAAGAAAAATTTCTTTTATATAGCGATTCACAAAAACAAAAAAACAATAAAAGTATAAAAATATTTTTAAAATGATAAAAAAATGTTTAAAAGGAGAAAAGGAAAAAAATGTAAGGAAAGGGAGAGAGAAAATGAATAGGAAAGAGGGAAATCAGTGGATCCTGGGAAAGATGGAATAAGAACAGAATAAGGAGATGGTGAGGATGAAGGTGATGAAGGTTAGGCATCTCATGGGGCTTAAAGGAGTTGTACATTTGGATGTCATCTGCATAAAGATGGTATGAGATTCCTTTGAAGGAGCTCAGGATGTGCTGAAGAGGAAGTAGAAGGAGGAGGAAGAATAGATTCCCCAGCTCAGAACCTTGTGGGACACCATGAGAGAGGGAGGTGGTGGAGGACCGAAACTTGGAGACGGCCAATGGGAAAGATGCTCAGACAGATAAGAGGAGAACCACTCCAGAGCAGATCCTGATAGGTCTACCCTCTCTGATGAATATATTCACTCATTTAGTCAGAAAGAGTGATGCTGCTGTGCGGAGCAACAGTCTGTTCTTCAAGTGAAGTAAGAAAGGCTAAATGATAGGATTGGACATAGTTTGATTTTGAACTATTCCAATTCCTTGTTTTGATTCCGGTTCCTATCGATCCACAATTCCAATTCTTTCAAGACATGATATGTTTTAAATGAGCCAGCTAACCACAGGTCCTACTTGATGAAATAATCTTAACTTCAACGTGAATTTTAATTCTATGAACAATAACATCACCTTCATTTAGACAAAAACATGTTTTGGAGAAAAAAAGAAAAAGGCTTGCAGCACAACCAGTGTGTTTGTTTCTGACCACAACCAAAGTCTGGAAGAAGCCTCTGGGATGAGAGGCTAAATGTTTCCAACATATTCAGAAATGTCCAGCTGTTTTCAGCTAAAACTCTCAGGATGATCATGTCCAGGATGACGGAGAACTACACCTCCATGCTGCAGCAGCATTCAGTCAGAACAGAAAGTGAAACTTAAATGTAGCTGCTGTCGGTAACAATCTAACAGATTTTAAACATTAAAACTTTCTGCCGCTGTGTAGTTGTTTGACTACCTCAGCAACTTCTGCCCCTGAGATTGGACAGTCCATCCCCAGGTCTCCCGGCTCTGGTTCCTCCTCGAAATGCGCATAGGTGGGATTGAGGAGCTCCTCAAAGTATTCCTTCCACCGTCCGACTATTGCCCCAGTTGACGTCAGCAGCTCCCCATCCCCACTGTAAACAGTTTGAGCGAGTTGCTGCCTTCCTCTCCTGAGGCGCCGGACAGTTTGCCAGAACCTCTTTGGAGCCGATCGATAGTCTTTCTCCATGGCCTCACCAAACTCCTCCCACGCCCGAGATTTTGCCTCGGCAACTGCCACTGCTGCACCCCGCTTGGCTATCCGGTACCTGTCTGCTGCCTCTGGAGACCCACATACCAGCCATGCCCTGTAGGCCTCCTTCTTCAGCCTGACGGCTCCCCGAACCTCTGGTGTCCACCAGCGGGTACGGGGGTTGCCACCACGACTGGCACCGGCCACCTTATGACCACAGCTAGCAACAGCTGCCTCATCAATCGCAGAGTGGAACAAGGCCCACTCAGAGTTAATGTCCCCCACTGCTCTCGGGACGCGGTCAAAGCTCTGCCGGAGGTGGGAGTTGAAGACCGTCTTAACAGGTTCTTCTGCCAGGCGTTCCCAGCAGACCCTCACTATGCGTTTGGGTCTGCCAGGTCTACGCGGCATCTTCCCCTGCCATCTGATCCAACTCACCACCAGGTGGTGATCAGTTGACAGCTCCGCTCCTTTCTTCACTCTGGTGTCCAAAACATATGGCCGCAGGTCAGATGATACGACTACAAAGTCTATCATCGACCTGCGACCTAGGCTGCCCTGGTACCAAGTGTACCGATGGGCATCCTTATGTTCGAACATGGTGTTCGTTATGGCCAAACTGCGGCTTGCACAGAAGTCCAATAACAAAACACCACTTGAGTTCAGATCAGGCGGGCCGTTCCTCCCAATCACACCCCTCCAGGTCATGCTGTCATTGCCCACGTGAGCATTGAAGTCCCCCAGCAGGACAATGGAGTCCCCTGATGGAGCACTATCTAGCACTCATCCCAGGGACTCCAAAAATGGTGGGTACTCTGAACTGATATTTGGCCCATAAGCACAAACAACAGTCAGGACCCGTTCCCCGACCCGAAGGCGCAAGGAAGCTACCCTCTCGTCCCCCGGGGTAAACCCCAACACACAGGCAGAGAGTCTTGGGGCTAGCAAAAAGCCAACCCCAGCCCTCCACCTCTCACCCGGAGCAACTCCAGCAAAGGAGAGTGTCCAACCCCTCGCAAGGACTTGGGTTCCAGAGCCAATGCAATGTGTCGAGGTGAGTCCAACTATATCTAGCCGGTACCGCTCAACCTCTGCCACAAGCTCCTGCTCCTTCCCCGCCAGCAAGGTGACGTTCCATGTCCCAAAAACCAGTTTTCTTGTCCGGGGATCGGACCACCAAGGCTTCCGCCTTGGTCTGCCACCCGATCCACACTGCACCGGACCCTTCATGTTCCTCCTGCGGATGGTGGGTCCACAGTTGGATGAGCCCATGTATCCGGTTCAGGCTGGGCCCGGCCGGGCCCCACGGGTGAAAGCCCGGCCACCAGTTTCAGAGATTCTATTATTATTATTATTATTATTATTATTATTATTATTAATAAATATTTTATTTCGATAAACTGGTGGATCTTTTATCGATTACATTTCTTACTATGGTTGACTAAAGGCAGTGTGAGACACTTTCACTGTAATTTTCCTGAAGGTGCTGACATGCAGCAGTGCTTAACACTGTGCCACCATATTGGGTGGATTAGAGGAATTACGGCACGTTTTCTGGCCTGCCGAGGGTTCCTGTGGCAGATGTGCGATGGAGTGTGGGTAAACAGCCACGCTGGCACCAGTGGGCTCTCAGCCTCAGCTGGGATGACAGCCCAGGTGTCTCCTGGGACTTGTAGTGTCAGACTGGATCCACAAGTCCACCTGGAGAGTCTAGTGTTGTTGTTGTCAGATCTCTCGGGGGACTCCCGTTGACATTTGATGTTCCATGTGTCTGCCCACGGGGCCATCTTAAGCTTTCTGTTACTGGCACGTCGAATGCAAAAAGAGTATTAGACACTAATGATTACAGACAAAATGCATTAGAAAGGTGTGGTTTTACTAAATAACATTGTACAAGGTAGACTGAGAACCAAGTGAAATATCTGATTAAATGTTGCTGTTTTTTGTTATGAAAGCTGAAGGAGGTGAATTCAGCCAAGATTCTGTCTGCGATGCTGTCTTACGTTTGGCCAAAGGATCGACCAGACCTGCGGGCACGCGTTGCCATCTCATTAGGCCTGCTTGCTGGAGCCAAGGTAAGTTCACACACACGGTGTTGGTAATGAATTTAGTGACCTCTGCTTCATGGACTTTATTTCATACATGTCTACTAAGTGGCTGTTCAAGAAAACTGAATTCAAACGGCTTCTTCTTCATTTCAGGCTACAATAAAAGAGTGAAAATGAGAATAATTTACAGTTAATTTCACAGTTTTTCATTTTTTAAACCACCAAGTGACATTAGCCTTTCCTGTGACATGGAGGGAGCTGGCTTAACAAAGGCTAAATTTAGAGTTATTCTAATTTTGTGCTTGTAATCCAGATTTTTTAGATGCAAGTACATTTTTTGCTAAACGAATAGAAATTCAGGTTTGTGCTTGTGTAGAAAATAATTTAAAGGTGCATTATGTAGACAATAAGTAAAAATGACATCCTGTGGTAAAATTTGGTTACTGCAGCCACTTAAATAAATCTGGAGCTTTTTGCCGGCTGCTGTCAAATTACAATTGTGGGAACTGCAGTATTAGCTCACAGGAGACATGGCAACCCCACACTCACTGATGGTAAACAGTAGTTACATCCTTCTTCCTTTGTTTTGAAAGGAGAAAAACTGGCGATCCCTGCAGCTAGCTTGATATGAAACATAACCTTCCTTCCAAAATGACTCTTGGAATTAACTCACTGTAAAATTCTCAATATATTCTTGCATACTGCACCTTTAAATGTAGACACGACTAATTTAAAATGTGTTGTCTTCTATTGGCAGATTTTGTTTTTTTAAAATCAAGCTTCAGGACAATATTCACAATGTCAAGTAACATTTAGAAACATGACAGAAAATTACATCATTCCATGGAAACATTAAAAGATGTGACTATAGATGAGAAACAGAGCAGAGAGCAGCCATTTGTGTCTAAAAGACGACCACAGCTATAAATAAAGTTGATAGCAGGGCCACAATAAGACAAAACCCCCGAGCAAATGCACCTCTGTGTCAGCTTAACCCTTCTGCTCCTGCAACCCAGCCCACGCCCTGCATTCACTGCTTCTGCTGTTACGCTTTAAAACCTGGGGAAAACCCAGAATCTGTAAAATTGTTGACACAGCAGACCCTGGGTTAGTCAAATAAAAAAAAAAAAGAAGCAAAAACACAACTTTGGTGATCACAGTGTCTGAGATCACGATTGTAATCAGAAAAGGATGATTGTTCAGCCTCGGGAGTAAAAGTAATGAAGCAGATTTTGGTTTATTTTTTAATGAATGAAAGTAAAGCTGCTACAGTGCTTTCTTTTTAGATAACTACTTTTCTATTTGGACACACTCCTAACCTTTTTGTTGTCTGGGCCAATCAGATTTAAGCTCGGACGATGAGCTGCCACTGTGCTAACATAAACGTTCTGGTGATCCAGGCCCTATGGCGCGGACATGTGCCTGTCCACATGTCTGACAACACATCAGCCTTTCTTCAATCATACCATCTCAAAAAATCTAATTTCCTGTTGGACAGTGCTGTCAGTTGTCTGGCTGATGTGCAGTTGTCCATCTATAGTTTTACGGTAACTCGTAGAACAATTTCTTCTCGTTTTTTTTCCCTACAACTCCACTGTTTCAGAGCGGGAACTGCACTGTGATTACTTTGGTAAATGACGCCTTCCAGGGTTCTACAACCCCCCAAGGCGCTTTACAACACAAACATTTATTCAACCACACACACATTCACAATTTTTAGAGTGGTTAAATAAAGAGAATTGGTAATAGAAAATGATGGTGATTAACTTTCCTCGGGTATATTCTATAGACCTGATTGAATAGACATCAGAAAAGTAATAGATTATCCGTTTTTGAATTCCTAGTAGCAATAATTATTCATCTAAGCATTTTTTATCCTAGTGGTTACAGTAACGTGAAGAGATGTTCCCATCCAAGGCTACAGACAGTGTCAGTTTGACACAACATATTATTTCATGTCAGAGATCAGGCTTTTCATTTCATTCTGTCCTTCAGGCAAGTGTCAGGAATCAAAGACGTATTCTACCGTGGGCTTTGAAAACACATAGCATCTAAAGGAATGTAGCGGAATTATTGGTCTGGTTAAGATAGTGCACCACAGTTTCAGGTAGAAATCACGTCACCTTTTATTATTTGTTACTAGGACATTGATGTTGAATGGCATTGCTTCTTGATAAACAGATTCAGTCAGAAAAGCGTGTGACGAGCTTGCGCTGCAGTAAAAAGCTCTGAGGTCCAGGGGGTGAAAAAAAGCGAAACATTTGTAAACCGTAGTACCGTTTTCCCTGATTAAAAATCATCAAAATGTGACACTTCTGAGGTAGAAAAACGGATAAACTTTATGTGTAATTTTTATATCAGAGTTTAAATAAAACTAAAATCTTAACTATTTCTTTTACAGACTAAGTTCACAGTTAATTCAACACATATGCAGTAGTGTAAATTAGTGCTTTGTGAGTTGGTCTGTGTGGCGAAATAGATGGGAAAATAATCTGGTCATAAAGGGCCAGTCTCCTCCACGTTATGGACTAGCCCACGTTGGCTTGTGACCATGGACGGCTGTTGTTGATTTAGCAGCCAGGAGAAAGTAAAGCGTGTCTCGACAAGTAGAAGCTAACTGTTAGCAATAGCAAGTCTACAACATGGCGGAACACATTCAGACATGTGTTATTTTTGGATATCTCATTTTTCACCCAAAAAATATATTTTACGGTATTCTGAGTTTTGTTACTGAAGGCAGTGGAAGAGTCGTGTTGCTGTTGGCCAATGAGAGACGAGACACTTTCTCATATCATGAATGTTAATGAGCAAAACTCTTAATTCTGCTGTTTTCCACCTCCTCCTTCTCCACCAAACTTTTACCACCCAAATTAGGAGCACCAGAGCTTTTTTACACAGTAAAAGACTCAACGCATTCATTCATATTAACAAAGCATAATTTATTAAAAAATGAGTAAATGAGATATTTAGGATATAAATATCCCAAATCATCCTGTACATTTCAGTGTTCTATGCTGTAACAGATCCCCGTAACCACTGGTCTCGTTCTTTATGACATTATTTATTTCCTTCTTCTTTAATCAAATATTATCTCTGCATCACCTACCGTGTGCTCTAACACCATGACCACTCTTCATAAGTGGTTGCATTCGGCAAGGAACCCACAGTAAACTAAAAACAATGTTGCATTTAAAACCTGATTTTTATATTATTAATTGCATGCATCAATCAGTGTGTGATACATTTTCTCTTCATTTGTTGATAGTCTCTAATTTACACCTTGGCAAATAATCAAAAATTCAAAGCTCCCGAGTAAACGTGTCCTGCTGCTGCTCAGCACGGCTCCCTCTAGTGTGCACGAAGGAGCCGAGAACACGCACGCACTATCCAATTGGCTCCTTGTGTTTTCCTGTGTGGTTGGAGTTAACCTCCCATTTTACCAATTTGTCTGTTTGAACTGAAACCACCAGCTGTGTGGATGCAATTTTTAAATCAGCGGAATAATTACGTGGTTACAGGGCTTCTCACCTCTGCAAGCAACATTATCAGTGACATTTTCATTTCAAATAAGTGATTATATACAAGTTGGCCTCAAATGGAGCCCTCTTTGTCTCTCTGCCTGTCAGTGCTCTGTGGTATAAGGTAAAGCTAATTCCCCATAGCCTGAAGCCTTTTCCCCGCTATTTGACACTGGATCTCTATTATGGGATGTCATTTCGCCAGGTACAGATTGACACAGTGTCAGTTTAATCTCCAGTGGTTGTCTTTAATGGATTAAAAGAGTGCATCCAACCTCATCATGTATTAGAGGTAAACTTGAGGATATGTTTTGGCTCTGTGATAATAGGCTTTGGCTATTTTTGTGTCATGTTCTGTTGTCTTGGTAGCAAAGTGGCAGATATTGTTTTTTCCTTTAGGGACTCAAGAGGACTTCTATTGTCTGAGAGTAATACCCAAGTGTATGAAGCACGAACCCTGGGGAGGTGGCTTTTGGCAGGATAAATAGAGCTTCATAGGTGTGCTTTTACGTTTACAAGTCCACATGAGGATTTATTTTCTTCTCTTCCCTTTTTTCTTAATTTATCAAGAATGTGTCATGCAGAATTTGACAGCAAAGGACCCAAAAATCTGCCCTCATGTAAGGCTTTCACGGGTTCAAATGAAGTGGGTTTAAAAGCGCTTTGCTGTGTGACGCAGTGTTCTTTCTTCGTGTGTCCTAATGTGCAGCAGACCACCCAGACTGAGTCGCACAGCTGTCCCTGTGCTTTTAATTAGCCCTAATAACCATTTCAATTCCATTAGCAGGAAGCACCAGCCCTCTCCAAGCACCAGTAGTGCCAGTCCAACAGAATACATCAGCAATTACACATCACATCTAACTCATAACACAAGTCACCTGAATGGACTGGGTTTAATTTTTTAGAGTGGAAATTCATCTTTTGAGAGCATTAATGCCTAGAAATACACCCAGAAATAAGGGAAAATGTTGGATTATTCCAAGAAAATAAATTAATATGAAATGTCTCATTTTTTTAATTAAATAATTAATTGAACTAGATAAGTATTTTTTTAAAGAGTGACCTGACCATGAAGGAGTTAATGTTTGAAAGTTATACAGTTTACATTCCTAAAAGAGATGATGTGTAGTTTTTACCATTAATTTCTGGAAATATCCATCAAAACATTGTCATTTCATTTATTTATAAAGCCCCTTCTGCGACCAATGCAGATGCCCAAGGTGCTGAACACAACACAATAAAAACATAAAACCATCAGCATAAACTATAATAATCGTAAAACCAACATAAAATCAATCAAAAGAGGAGAGTAAAAGCAAAAAATAAAATCCTGAAAAAGATTAAGAAGCCGGGGGCATTGAAACCGGGTAAAATTAGCTAATCCTGGAATGCCTTGACAAAAAAAATGGGTCTTAAGGCGAGTCTTTAAAATCCCCAATGAGGGTGACTGACGCACCACCAAAGGCAACTGGTTCCAAAGTGCAGGTGCCAATACAGAGAATGCACGGTCCCCCCGTGACCTGCACTTAGGCCCTGTCCACACGTAGCCGGGGATCTGCCAAAACGTAGATATTTTTCTACGTTTTGGCCTGTCATCCACACGAAAACGGAGTTTTTTCACACGAAAACGGATCTTTTTAAAAACTCCGGCCAAAGTGAAGATCTGCGTTTTCTCCGTCTTGGGTGTCTGCGTGTGGACAGACAAAACCGGAGTTTTAAGGTCCGCAACGTCACTTTCCGCGACAAAAAAATGCTGACATCACGTGTGCGACCTGTGTTTACACTAGCCGACAGCATGGATGCCCTCAGAGCTGCGCTCGCTTTATCAATTGTCCAAGCGCTTTCTGCTTGTTTGTTTTTGCAAGTGGAATTACTGCTCCTTGCGGAAGACCACAGACGAAGGACGAGGTTAAGAACGGGGGAAGTACTGCCGCCTACAGGTCTGGCATGTCCTTAACAACATATTTATCCGGGTACGTGTGGACAAAGTTTTTTTTTTAAATGAGGTGGTGTGGATGCAAGTTTTTGGAGGGGCGGATATTCGTTTTTAAAAAAAACCCCGGCTACGTGTGGACTAGGCCTTAGTGCGTGGAACGATCAACAGCTGCCTGCCGGCTGAGCGAGGGGCCCACGAGGGGGCATGCCTATGCCAAAGGTTGCCAAGATATTCTGGAGCAGTTCCTTCTAAGGCCTTGTATGCCAGTACCATCGACATAAATATTGGACAATGGGTTTCCATAGGCTCCAAAAACACGTTTTTGAGGTCAAATGGGAGGTGGCCACCACCTCCATTTTGATCGTGTCACAGGTTCCGTCAAGCCCAGACAATTCCACAAAAGGGAAGAGAGGTGGAGCTGAGGGTGGGGCTGTAAGGCTGGGATCAACTGACGACACCCGGTCGAACTAGCTGCAAGCTAACCTGAAGCTAATGCAGAGGTGGGAGCTAAGCTAACGGAGGTAGCAACCTAGCTACAACCGGAGTTAACTGTGCACAACACCAGAGCTTCTGAGTCAGAGATACGCCGGGCTGACCGCTGGGTAAAACCGGGTGGAACACAGAGGTCTCCCGAGAGCTCCACAAGCCGGCAGCCGCACAGCAGAAAAGCGCCACTGCGATCTGAGATGCGCAGAGCTGCCGCTGGGGAGAACCGGGTGGAAAGGTTTCCATCCCAGAGCTCCACAAGCCAGCAGCCCGCGCAGCAGACAGAAGCCGCGATCAGACAGAGATGCGCCGAGCTGTAGGGAGGGGAGAACCGGGTGGAAAACAGAGGTCTCCCGAGAGCTCCACAAGCCGATAGTCGGAACCCAGCTCCACCAACATGTTATATATCAACCCATTTTCTTAAGTGCAGCATTATGTTAAATGCACTGGGTTTTACCCTATTACATTTAAATTTCATGGTTAAACAGTACATGTTAAAATCTAAGCTCAGCTCGGCAGTGACCTAAAATACATAAATATAATTTTGCTTACCGAAAAAAATGAAGTGGAGACTCCTTGGACGCTCTATTAGTGCAATTAATGCCACAGCAAGTCATTTTGTCCAACAATTGCACAAATAATATCCAAACAAGAACACACAAATGCTACAACTAATGGTCTAAGTTGAGAGACAGAAAATGACCGAACAGTTTTCAGGTGAGGCCGAGGATCAGACTGAGGCCTTTCCCCAGAGCTAGCTCTGCGGTCACATGGGTCTGATGCTCATTAATTATACAGAATTTTAGGCTTTTAATACACTTAAACAGAAGAGTGAGAGAAAAAATTCACCCCTCTCAGAGTTGTCATGAGTGTAAACTAGATCATTTAAACCTAAAACATGTTTTGGTACCAGGCTGTAAACATGTTTATTTCTGCTGTGAAATTGGTATTTTTAACATGGGAGTCAATGAGGATTTGCTCGCTTCTGACACCAACCCCCAGTGGACGAGGGTGGAACTGCAATTTATTTCACTTCCGCGTTTGCTTCAATTTTTCACCCGCATTGTGGGGGCTTGGCCAGTACCAAGACCTTTAATTTTGCCCTGTATTGCACAGGCAGCCAATGAAGTGATGCCAACACAGGGGTGATATGTGTTCCCTGCGCCTAGTGCCTGCCACGAGTCTAGCGGCTGAGTTTTGTACTAACTGCAAGCGTGCTACCGCACCCTGACTAAGGCCGGCATACAGCACATTGCAGTAGTCGAGCCTTGAAAGGTGACGGTCTCTAAATGTACTCTGGACAGCAGGGGCTTAATTCAGGCTAGTCGGTGTAAGTTAAAAAAACACCATCGCACAACCTGGTTGATTTGCGTGTCGAATTTTAGGGCTGAGTCCAGTTGCAATCCTAAATTTTGGATGGTGGTCTTCTTGTTGGACGCTAAAGGGCCCAGATTCACAGCATTGCATGGGCGTGTAGACATGACAGGGCTAAGTACAATTACTTCAGTCTTAGCGTCATTCAGATGTAAAAAGTTTGTAGCCATCCAGGAGCGCACATCCTCTAAGGCATCTACAAGATTTGATATTGACCCATTGACCCCCGCTGAAGGGGGAGGTAGATTTGACAGTCGTCAACATAAAAATGAAAACATGAATTTAATAACAAAACTTCTAAACTCTTTCCAAATGTGACGGAACAGAATTGAAAAGAGATGCAATATACTTTGGCCAAGCTGTATTGCTGTAGTATCGGCAGACACAAGACCCCGAGCAGATCTGGAAACTACAGCACCAGAAAACTGCAATCGGCATTGCATTCTCTCGATGAAATTACCTGAAGGACCATCAATGTCTGAGATGTCACGCTGAGGTTGCGTGCTTTCTGCTCCTCAGGTAACATTTACAGTAATGTTTTTTTAAACTAGCCACAGTCAGAAAGATATGGTGTAAAACTACCCTGAAATGTATGTATGTACTGCCCCCTAGTGGCAGGAAACCACACACCGTCACTTTAAAGGTCTATAAAGGAGATTAATGTACTGTTTTGGTTTTTAATATGAGACTTTCCATTAGGGCTGGACAATAAATTAAAAATGTATTGTTATAGAAATTTCTGACTTTAACCAATATTGTTTTTCCCAAGTCAAAAAATTTGATAATTAAAAAAAAAGGAACATTTGTGACAACGTACAACATGACTCTACGTAATACACATGACAGCCTCATCTAGTGGACAACTTTTGTTTCTACGCATACACGTAGTTATCGTCCAGTTATCTTTATCGAGGTGAAATCCTCAATATACTGTGATATTTATATTATGCCATGTCGCCCAGCCCTACTTTTCATGTTTGGCGGTCCCAGGACACGTTTACAGCAGTGGCGTGTGCTCTGTCATCATTAAGAAAGACCAGTTAATAAAATTTCAAAACTCCTTTTAATAGGCTCCTGAAAACCAAAAAGACACTTTACCAAGAAGACCAAACATTTGTTGCTGCTTTTTATGTGATGCTGCTAAAGAGGACTGTACCTATGAAGGTGGACGATGGATAACAGTAGAAGTCCAGTTTAGGGCTGGACACTTGATAAGGTGTGACACGTGGGAGATCCACTCAAATCAGAACCAGTGTTTGACCTTAGAAGACCCTGACATAAGTGAGGCTGCTGAACCGGATGTTTACCTAAGGACGCAACGACTGTGACAGAATGAGTGGGACTCGAGCCTGCAACCCTTCGGTTTTGGGGCGGGCTCTCAACTCCTCTGCCACCGTTGCCCTATAATCATTTCTCCTCCTCTATGGTCGAAACTCTCCGGACCAGTGGGCCTCTGTGCTGTAGCTACATCCTGTTGGTGTTGTATTATTTTACAGGTTTGAGTCTGCTGTCTGGATTTCATTCACACGTCTGACTTCCCGTCCATCCCAGCTGCTCTGTGCTGGCCAATGTGGCGGCTGCAAAACTAGATGTTTATTTTTAGTGGAGCTTCTGCGGTACATGTTGTCATGTGTGTGATTACGCTGACCTCAAATCTAAATAAAAATAAAGATGTTTGTCACGTTTGACCCATGAGTGAGCACGCATCCACGAAACAAGCTGTTTGAATCTGTTTCCACTGGTTTCCCTCCTTCTCCTCTAACGTTTGCTCTTGCTCCCCCCCCCAGCTCACCAATGTGGTAGTGCCCTTCATGTTTAAGTATGCAGTGGACGAGCTTAACCAGATGTCGGGGCACATGCTGAACCTGAATGATGCGCCAAGCACCGTGGCTACCATGGCAACGGCCATGCTGATTGGCTGTAAGTCGGAGACTTGTATTACTCTGGCAGGTGCTGTGCTCATCATCAGAGGGCGTCTGTGGGACTCTCCTCTGCCTGCTGGCTAACTTCTCCCGCCACACTCACATCAGTGCCTCTCTACATTATTTACGTCATGAAAACATTTAACTTGTTTACTTTCTAATGGAAGCACCGTTGACTTTGCTATGTTAAATAAACAAATGTAGACCCAGGGAGGTTTGTTAATTTATTATCTGTGAAGATCTAATTTTTTTTTTTGCCTCTTCTTTGTTAAAACTGACCTGTAAGTTTACTTTTGAAATTCCCTGATCAAAGTAGATTTTTCGCAGAACCACTGATGGAAGCAATAAAAATATATAATCATTTCAAACCTGACTCTCTGCTAGCAACCGTGGCCCTAGTTGACACAATTATAGACGCAGTATGTACTCCAGCCTCTTATTTTGATGAGTCCACTTAGGTGTTGCACATTTAAGAGGTGTGTGTAGAGTGATCTTTAAGAGTGAAATTGTATTATTTGTGTTCGTTCTTTTGGACACCCAGGCTCCTGTATTTGAAGCCTGCACTGACTGGTGTAATTTGGCTGTCAAGGTTGCACAGTGCTCATCCTACCTTGTCAGATGCGAACACATTGTTCATTAGATGAGCATTCCTATTTAACGCCACATTACAGCCCCTTGAAGGCCGGCAGACAGAGAGATTACCGCCCCGACTTTGGTCTCGGCAGACGAGTCACGTGTTTGCACGACTTTAGCGAATTTGCCATGGCAAGACCATGTTTCTTTGAAACCCAGACACTTGTCAATTTGTGACAGTCGAGCCAGCCATGTGATTGGGTAACAAAGTGTGAGCCATGAGAGATCAAATGAAGTTGTTGATTTTATTTAACTAAATCACTTTGCTTAAGCTGCATATTAATTATCATTTCTTAAGAGAAAAAAAACATCCAACGTGTTCAATATTTGAAATGCATTAAAGAAAGATGCTGTTCTTTCATTTGGCTTAATCCATCAGAGAACGCGTAGAGTCAGAACAGAGTGAAATTAAAGCTGATAATTGAAAATTCAGTACACACACACACACACACACACACACACACACACTCCACTGTCACACAAACAACACTTTGCTGAACATTCAGGTTCTGTTTTTTCCTTCAGTCTGTTGTATAGCGAGGCTGCAGGGAGCATCATAGTATGTAATTACTGGTGGGAGACTGCTGCTGTAACACTGCAGCACATTCAGGCCACAGATGATATGAAAGATATGTCCCAACACTGCATAGCCTTTCAGTCAAAGAGCCTACAAGCTGCTGCCTCAGAATATATTTAAACTCTTCTGTGTTGTCAGGATGACAGTAGAGCTCCATGCGGGAGCCCCTCTGTTCAAACCCTCCTGCTTTCCACAGCAGGTGTTCTGAAACTTTTTCTTTCCTCTGCTGCTCCAGATGGCGTGTCGCGGACCTGTTCCGCCCTCTTCAATGAGCTGAGGAACACCGTGTTCGGCAAAGTGGCCCAGAGCTCCATTCGACGCATCGCCAAGAACGTCTTTCTACACTTGCATAATCTGGATCTGGGGTTCCACCTCAGTCGTCAGACGGGGGCGCTGTCCAAAGCAATTGACCGCGGCACGCGGGGCATATCTTTTGTCCTCAGTGCTCTTGTCTTCAATCTGGGACCTACAGTGTTTGAGATGGGCCTCGTCAGTGCTATTTTGGTGGGTCTCTGAGTTAAAGAAGGGCAAAAAGGGCTACAAATGTCCACTATGAGATGTCCACTGAGAAAGCTTGTATTTATGGGCTTGCCCGCCTTGGCAAGCAACTGCGGAAGGCTGGTTTGATTTAGTGGCTTGGAGTATAGAGTGTGTCTCAGCTAGTAGAAGCTAACAGTTAGCATTAGCAACACCACAACATGCCAGAACATGTTCAAGCTTGTTTTATTTGTGGAGGTAAAACATAAACCTTCAATCCAAGAAAGAGGAGCGAATGAAGGCATTGTAAGAGCACAGACTGATGAGCAGAAGGAAGACCTGACATCAGGTAGTCTGTGCATGTGGGAGTTTAGGGATATGAATCACCACTACTAATGGACGTTCATTCAGGGCGTAACTGGACGCTTTATTTTACAAACATCCAATTGGTCTCTTTCGCTCTGATCGTGGGTTGAGATTCTATATGCCTGAATTATTGCAGGTTGTTTCACCACTGCCAGCTAGACGAGTGTAATGTTAAAATAATGGTGGGTGAAAAATCGTCACAACATCTAGGAGACACGAGCGTCACAGACCAGCTTTTGGCTCATCGGTCCTATGGGACATGAAAAGGCTACTTCTCTGAACAGAGGCTGTTTATGAAGCACTTAAAAACGGCTGAAATATCCTTTGAAAGTGTTGTGAATCCATCTTTGAATGATTCATCTATTTTTCCATCGGTTTGATTGATTTATGTTTAACTGTTTTGGTGTTGTGTGCGTAATTATTTTCACTCTGAAATGATAATAATTTTCCATGGGTTGTAGTGAATTCCTAGAAACACAGATAGCTTTTACGTCTTGTTGCCTGTTCCTTCAGTAGCACCTCAGGACCTTCCATCACCTTGACATTCTTCTCCGCAGATTGTCCAGAAATTAATTTTGGAGATATTGTCTCATTTACATTGTAAATGGAATCTGAATCCCTCTGAACTTTTGGTGGAAACACAGTCCATTAATGTCAGTGATGAATCCCAAAGCTTTGTTGCAGCTTAATGTCCTCCTCCAGAGTGCCCCCCTAACAGATGTGTCTCCTTTCTGGTCACCAAAGAAAGAATAGCTCTTCTGTGGCTTTGTGCTTTTGCTCCAAACTGAAAATCATTGCCTGATTGTCTGTAGCGAGGCCAAACTCAAAGATTTATCATCATTTCTTATCATAGATTTCTTTGCACTTGTAATTCCTGCTTTTGCAGTACAATGCTCCAAAACAACACCCTCTTGAAGAATTGTGTGAGGATTATATTAAGTCTGGGGCGACCCAATGTCTTTTCTATCATTTTTATTACAACATTTCTACCTACTGCACATGAAAGATGCTCTACCTTGCTCTTCTCTCCTGCAGTATCACAAGTGTGGCGGACAGTTTGCAGCAGTGGCCTTGGGCACCTTATCAGCGTACACTCTCTTCACGATTCTCGTTACTCAGTGGAGGTAGGGAGATTTCTGTGCTTCTTTTCTACCTCTGTGTATAGGTCAGGATTGTTATTTCTTGTCAGGGTCTCTAAATACCTCAGTGGCTCCTCTTGCCTCCTGTGAAAACAGTCACACACTGGTTGAAGCGTACTAATAAAAGCACTCGTGTCATCGTGCATGTGTCTCTGCACGCAGGACTCAGTTCCGTATCGAGATGAACAAAGCTGACAATGCAGCAGGCAATGCAGCCATTGACTCCCTGCTCAACTATGAGACTGTCAAGGTGAGTTAAACCACACTTGCCTTTCTTTCAACTGTTTTTCAGATGCCCGCCGTGCACCAGGTAGTTTAAAAAATGGGTGGAGTTACTGGAAAAATAATTTAAATCCCCTTTATGGACATTTGTCTCTTTTAGAAAAGGCCCCAAACTTAACCAATGACACAGTGCTGTCAACAATTAACAGACAGCATGACAAAGGCACTATCTGAATCTAACGGAAACGGCAAAAATCAAAGTTTGTCGTGAATAAAATAGTATTATTTCATGTGGTTTTTAAATAATATGCTATGACTTGGCACAATTAACATATTAAGGGCAGTGTTTAAAGGAAAACAGGTGAAAGGACAAGAATTCACCCCGAGCAGATGAACGATATAGATTCTAAAAGAAAACTGGGAGTTTCTTGGTATCTTGATAAAACCTAAAGGATGGACGTCCCGTAACAGACTGTTTTCTGAAGATTAAACAGAAATAATCTCAGTGGATCAGTGGCTGCTCATCAATGATGTGAAAAACCTTCAAAACAGGGAGGAAAGAATGGAGATAAAAAGGTCAAAGAGAGAGAAGTGTCAGTGGTAGAGCAGTAAAACACAGTAGAGGAACTGTCATGGTATGGGAGGGAGCGCTTCATTTCTAGCTAAACCTAATAGAAAAACCCTAGAACTCTGCTGGTGGTCGTTTCTCAAGCCCAAACCACCACAAATTAATATCCTGCTAAATCGACTCGACAGAAAATAAAATCAAAAGCAACTAAAGTCAAAAGAAAAGCTTTGAAACGTTCTGAAAGGAGACAGGACATTAAAACGTGTTTTTCAAGGACATGATACACTAAACACTGACATCCTGACTTGGTTAAAAGGATGTGTTTGTACTCTTGTGTGTGATTCAGTAAATCACTGCACCCTCTCCTTAACCCTTTGTTGAAAATGCAAAGAAACCAGGAAGCAGTGAGACGGTGCTGTACTCGACATCAGGTTTGGGACACCGCGGTGGCCTTTTCAGATATATTTTAGTTACCATGTTATTTCCTTTGCTGCATTATTTAGCGTCCTGTTTTTCTTAACATCTTGTTCCGTGCTATTTTGTGTCATCTATGTCAATGCAGCCAGATTTAGCATCACTCTGAGCTGTGAGTGTGCATATGTAATTAGATCTCCACCCACTCAGAAATCCGTTCCACTTTCACAAAGGGCTGGATGAGAAACCTGAACGTGGTGCTGGTGCCTTGCACTGCTTCTTCGGCTCATCTTCAATCTGCCACTTTTCCCTTTCCCTCTCGGATTTTGCTGCATTTTCTTGTATGTAAATCAGCGGCGAAGTCTGTAGCTGAGCAGCTCCACAGCTAGAGGGGCAAATCGCCCACTTCACCAGAGCAGGGAAACAATAGCAGAAACTACACAAACAACAGCGCTGCAACAATATTAAGTAATTGGCAGCAGATTTGGGGATTGTTGTGATTATGCTTTTGTTTTATTTTCTGCATTTATGAGGTGTGCCTGCGGCCGATTCGTGCGCTGTGCTTTCTTTTAATGATGGATGTCTTAATCAGAATCGGTTGTGCTTGTGTGGTGCAGCACATTGTTGGTAGTGCAGGCGTCTGTCAGCTGCTACAAATGTGAACGCAGAGGCAGAGGTGATGAGTCCAGTCACAAATCCTCTAGCTGCTCTTGTTTCCCTACGTGTGATGATTGGGCTTTACTTCCTGCCTAGTATTTGAAACTGTTGTTTTGCTGCATCACTGAGCTCCGTCAAAGCTTCATATCTGCTGCCAGTTCAGCAGTGCAGCCTTTGGATTCACTTCCATTGCCTTCATGTCTTTTTAAAACCTGTTGGGAGCAGATGAAGATACAGACATGAAAAAGTGCTTTGTAGGCCAACTGAGACACAGTCGCTGCTCGGAGCGGCCACTGAGAACAAGTGCAGCCTTCAGGCAGGCTGAGCCGGTGTGTATCCGCCCGACGCCGCTCTCCGCTCTTCCTTAACCTTTAACCTCAACCATATTTGTGTCTCTCCCTCTTTCTCTCCAAACTTCCTTTTTATGAATCCCCTCATCGCCTCCCTGGCCTGTGCTAATTCTCTCCTCGTTTTTCTCCCTCGCCTCGGCTGCAGTACTTCAATAATGAGAGGTACGAAGCTGAAAGGTACGATGAATTCCTGAAGATCTACGAGTCATCCTCTTTAAAGACCACGTCGACGCTCGCCATGCTCAACTTTGGCCAGAATGCCATCTTCAGCGTCGGCCTCACGGCAATCATGCTGCTGGCCAGTAAGAGCATCACAGCAGGTGAGCACTTTAGGCGACTCTTTGTGAGGATTTGTAAATGTAGCATAGGTTTTCAGGGTGGCGATCCTGGCTAATAATTCTTCCAAGATGCAAAATGGTGTAACGCTGAAGAAAAATCCATCAGCTGAGCTGAATTTGACCTGTTCTTGCCCATGATTTTTAGTAACAGCACAGCGGTGGAAAAAACAAACAGTGTATGGCAATTAGAACGCCTGCAAAAGAAACTCTCAGAACCAAATCAGACAGAGAGATGAAACAGCCAAGGAAAGCCCTGACTGAACTTGATAATGGAAACTAAATGAGAACAAAGCACAGTGAGCATGAATAAGAGGCTTGAATGGGAAGTAAAATAGCCTTGATGCAGAAAATGAAATCCCGGGGGGTAGAGATGCAACAGCTACAGAAGGCTTTATGCGGATTTGAAAAAAAACTAGATCTTCATTTAAATCCACATACGTGTTGTAATGGAGCCGGTTGTGTCGTAGGCACCATGACGGTGGGCGACCTGGTGATGGTGAATGGCCTGCTCTTCCAGCTCTCCCTTCCTCTCAACTTCCTGGGAACGGTGTACCGAGAGACCCGGCAGGCTCTCATAGACATGAACACGCTGTTCACTCTCCTCAGCGTCGACACAAAGATCAAGGTAACTTGTCAGCCCGACACAAACTTCTCCACATCGTGTCTGTAAAACAAAAAATCATCTAGTGTTTATTTATTTTTTTTTACTTTTAAATCTTTTTAACAACAGAGAATAGAAGAGATGCATTTTTGCAGAATGGATCATGAACCGACAGAATAAACAGAAAAGACCTTTTTTTTAAGAGGTAAAAGGTTTCACCACTAAACGAACCTGTTCTCATAACTGCAGAACTTGAGTAATCTGTCAACATGTGGTGTGAAGAGATGATGGGCACTAGTCAAGCTGGGTAATTACATGCTTGATGTGACTGAGGTGCTTCCTCGTCTGTTTCCCCCTGCGGAGCCTGACGTTACTGGCTGCATTTGTCTCATCTGTGTGTTAATAAAACCACAGATTCCTGCAGAACAGCGACTGGCTGCACGCTCCTGATTAGTTTGGGTTATTTAATTATCAAGCTGTTGAAACTAGTCATCGTTTTAATGAGTGCGTTTATAAGTTTGTGGCGTGGGTGCGATTGCATTTCCTGTTATTGGACTGGTTTCTCAACATTCACCGTTTCTTCTCAGAAATACAACGCTTGTTTAACTGTATTGTCAGAGATATGGAGCTCGGGTCAGAGTGTGACTGAGTGGCTTTCCGTTAAACTAAGTCCTTCTATTTAAACGCGTTTTAATAAAACCCTTCTATGCTTTCTAACAGGCACGGGCATTTCCAGCAAACGTCATTTTCCTGTAATGAATGGATTATTTAAAAAATATATCCTCCCTCCTAACTTTCACATGGCCACATGAAAGATAACTTCTTCCTCAAACTCTTCTTCGACACACACAACAGTGATGTGTTTCAGGAAGTTTCCCTGAAGCTCTCCCACTGAAACCTTACTCAGATGGAAGAGAAGTTGCAGGGATGAGAGATGTGAAGATTAACTGACTCGATTCACAGAAGTGTGTTTTCAGTGGGGTGGTAGAGCTGCTGTGTCCAGATGAGGTTTTGGCTTTAAATCGTTCTCTGACAAATAGAATATGGTGCAAACAGCCAATTCCTTCAGTAATTCAGCTTAGACTGAGAAACCATTTAAAGATTCAGGAACTCTTTGCAGGTGTTTTCGGTTTGGAATTATAAATCCTATTAGATTAGGATGTTGTTTAATATCACTGTGGCGTTTAAATAGTTTAGATTAGTGTAATGCTTGTTTGTAGTTCCTCCTGTTAGGTTCCCATCTATTTCAATTATTCAGTTTTATAATAAACACAGATTTTAGTTCAAACTAGTGATGCACCGATATGAAATTTTTGGGCCGATACCGATATCCGATATTAAGATCACAGTTATGGCCGATGACCGATATTTGCAGATACCGATATACTGACATTAATGCTTCTAAAATCAGCAGATTTTGTATAGAATGAAAATTATTAAAGCTGAATTTACATTACTATGTACACACACATATTTACGGTTCTGAGATTTCATTCACTGTTCACATGACTAAGCAATTACACACCACCCCCCTCACCCTTTAAAACAGGCAAACAAATGGAGACGAGATGGAAAAAAATATTGGTTGTTAATATCGGCCCGGTTTTATTATTGAACCGATACCGATATGTTAAAAAAAATTGACTAACATCGACCGATACCGATATTGCTGCTGATATATTGTCCATCCCTAGTTCAAACCTATTTAAATGATTATGATAAATGACCCGCACTTGTATAGCGCCTCTCAGAGTAAGGACTCCAAAGTGCTTTACACTACAGTGTATCATTCATCCATTCACACACACATTCACACACTGATGGTGATGAGCTACGATGTAGCCACAGCTGCCCTGGGGCGCACTGACAGTCACTTATGTTTTGGTATTGTAGTAATTTATAGTTAAAGAAGTAGTTCCATTAAGAGGGGACGCCAGTTTTCTTGCATGTTTTTATAAAATAAAGTCATGAAACAGTTATTTTTCCTGGTAATTAGTTACTTTTATAATCTTGTAACTCAGTTATTTTTTTGATGAAGTAAATAGTAGCCATAACCAATTACTTTTTCAAAGTAACGTTCCCAACACTGGTAGCTCATGCATCTTTGTAAATGGCCTGTATTTGACATGGCGTCTTCTAGAGTCCTGGGACCCCCCAAGGCGCTTTACAACACAACCAGTAATTCACCCATTCGTACACACATTCACACACTGGTGGGGACAGCTGCCCCTGGGGCACACTGATGGAGACGAGACTGCCGAGCACAGGCGCCACCGGTCCCTCCGACCACCACCAGCAGGCAATGTGGGTTCAGTGTCTTGCCCAAGGACACAACGGCAGCGGCAGACTGAGCGGGGCTTGAACCTGCAACCTTCCGATTACAGGGCGAGCACTTAAGTCCTGTGCCACCGTCGCCCCAACATTCTTCAACGTCTTTAAAGAATCTGACAGCAGCATGTCGACATGCAGATTCAGATCTCATCGGCCACAAACCAACGACTCGAACACTCATAGAATAAGATGGAGTTCCAGCCATTCACGCTTTTCAAACTTTACTTTACTCACATGGTGCTAATTAATATAGCTCAAAGGTGTTAGCACAACAAGAGTTTTGTAAAAATTCAGATCCATGCGGTGGGTGGTGAGGATGTGACTCACCTGCGGCTGTAGTTTCACCTTTTTAATGCTGTCCTATGAAATCTACAGATGCAGAATCACTTAGTTTATAGAAAACACGTGTCAGTGTAAAAGATTGAGGCTTATTAAAACAACAGTTATATTTACCATTAGAATTTTTTTTAAATATTCAAGAATCACTACCCAGTCCTACTTCCTAGTGAGAGTGATGGTATGAGATGACTGTCATTTGTTGTCAGAAAGCAGGTGGCAATTTTTGTTTTTGCCTCTGTTTTGTTGTTTTCTTTCAAAGTCTCGTTCATAGTGTACTGATGCTTGTCATTTGGATACGCTTCCTCATTGTTGCGCTTATTGTTTACAGGGTTTGAGCTTCTCCATTTTCTTAGGATTACTTGAAAATCTGTACAATATTGTATTAATTGTTTGTGTTTACGTATGAGTTCATTGAAAAAAGCATAGCTCAGTGCTTATTTTTAATATAAAAATACATATACCTTAAATGTTTTTTTTAACACTTTCAGTCATTTTAGACTAATGGGTCTCATATATGTTTCCTGAAATAGCTGCCAAGCTTGTTTTTTAGGGCAGTTTTAAAATAAATTCCATTTATCTTTTGTGAACTCAACATGACAGCCCATCGTGTGCCATAAAAGTGCACTTGAGTGCAAATGTGTGTCTGCTGGCCAACAATAAGAAGGCTGTTCCCATCTCCAGCCTATAATTACACTGGTGGAGATGAGGCTGTCCGCTTATTTTTCCTCTCATCAGTAATATTCCTCTCCATTGTGATTCCTGGTGGAATGGTGCAGCCTGGAAAGCCATTACCATCTGAATACTTTTTAAAAATGTGGGAAAACATTGTTCTATTATGTAGATGTGAAATTTTTTAAAACTCCTCTCACTTGAAAATGTGCCACTAAATAAAAAAGAAATAATGTTGTGCGACCCCTCCCCCCCCCCCCCCGCTGAAGGGCGTGGAATTATCTTCTGTTTATACTAATGGTCTGTGAGTTATTTGTATGAATTGACTGGGTGATCGTGTCACCCGTAGGTGCTTTGTCTCTCTCTGGTGAAGAACAGGGTTTTATTCACTGCAGGACTCGTCTGTCTCAACACTACATCTCAGCTCCATATAAAGGAAGGAGTTTCATACCTATTGATCCCTTAGTATTCACCATGAAGGGCGAAACGCAGACTCAGGTGACCTTTTGTAATGATCGCTGAAATATTCAGTGAATGTCCCAGCATCATGCAGCTGATTTAGCGGTCATGCAGCAGGGTTATGTCTCCTTATGAGTTGCATCAGGCCAGGTTTGGTCTGTACCTCTGTTACTTTATTCTTTTTCTTCCTTTTCATCTCTTAAACCTCTGATGTTTACTTTAGGAAAGGAATCTTGCTCCACCATTGAGAGTCACCCCTCAGGACGCCACCATCCGCTTTGAGGACGTCTACTTTGAATACCTGGAAGGCCAAAAGGTTTTAAACGGAGTGTCCTTTGAGGTGCCTGCTGGGAAGAAGGTGGCTATAGTCGGTGGCAGCGGATCAGGGTAGGTCATGCATTCCTAAAATACTCTGAATGTTGGATCTTCAGCCAGGTGTACCACCTATTTGCTACGAGAGACATTATTATAATAGATGTGGTTGTTTTCTCTGTTTTCAGAGTTTACATCAATTTTAAAGTTATTTAGTCAAAACCAGTCAAATTATCTTGTTTAATGTCCCTTGCAGTTTAGATGTCTTTTAATGAAAAGGGCTGATCTTGTTTTTCTGGTTGTGTGTAGTGGAGTGGCACACCGATCTCCCTGTCGGTTGTTTGTACAACTGTCTGAACATGAGTTTTTATTCTGTAAAAGAAATACAATAACAATCAAGACATTGTTATTGGTGCAACTTAACAGTCCGCTGTGGGTTTTCTACCAAAGAAGTTTCTGTTTTAGAAACAAAGTTTGTAATAAACCAAAAAAGCTAGCATGTCTTCTGCAGGCTTGAATTAGCTAATGTTGGCTTGTCAAGCTTTTAAAATTTACTTTACAAATCAGCAGATCAGCACAAAATGAGCAGATACACTTAAAGACTATATACATTTATTCAGTGTTTAATAGTTTTAGGGGTTCCATCTTTATATTTATACAGTGTGTACGGAAAGTATTCAGACCCCCGTCACTTTTTCACTCTTTATTATGGGGGGAGGGGGAGGGGGGGCTAGTGACATCACGTATCAAGGGGTCTATAGAAGCTTTAATCATCATGTTTTCTAGAGCTGCATGCCCATCAGCTGTACTAATGCAATGATCCAGCCATGACGTACTGTTCCAAGCATCACTTATAAATGTGAAGCTGTCACTTGGCTTTGGCACTTTGCTTGACAATACAAGTTTATTCTCATTACAGGGTTGGGTTAAATGTTTCACAAACCGAGTACTATTGTCAGAAAAATCTACGTTAAAAGCACCCACAACATACTGTATACACTCTTTGTTATATTGCAGCTAAATTCATTTTATTCCTCATTAATGTGCATACAGCACTCCATATCGACAGAACATAATTGTAGAAATGTCTGCTGAGCTAATAAAAAAACCCTGAAATATTACATGGTCCCATCAGTATTTAGTAGAAGCTCCCTTTTGAGCTGATACAGTCATGAGTCTTCTTGGTAAAGAACACGTTTTTCACACCTGGATTTGGAGATCTTCTGCCATTCCTCTTTGCAGATCCTCTCATGTTCTGTCAGGTTGGATGGTGAATGTTGGTGGACAGTAGGGCTGCGCGGTATTAGGAAAACCTGCTATATGCGATAACAGTGATTAATATTGCAATGACGATATTACTTGCGATAAATAGAAACTTAACTCAGGAACAAAAATGATCAAAAACAAAGAAATAAACAATGACCCAAAAAATCATAAAAATGAGAAAAGCAAACAATGTGAGGAAAGGGAAAAGAAGATGAACAAGAAAAGGCAGTCAGTGGATCCCAGGAAAAGCAGAATCAGCAGAAAGAGCAGAACAAAGCTAACTCAGGTATTTGCTAACCATCAAAATGAAGTGCAGTCAGCATCTGGGGTGGGCATCTAACCTATGAGAACCTGGAACCTGGAAATGTCAACCTGGATTTTTAATTATAATAAAAATTAAAACATCAACAGTTAGTGTAACTGGTTAAAACCAGCGTTGTTGGATTGTTATTATTGTTGTTGTAATATTCTAGCATCACAATAATCTGTTGCTACCTTTTAACAAACTGTTAACACAAACTTGCATTTTCTTTCCCCTTATCTGTGAGTCACAAGTAAAATAACTACAAATAAACTTATAAAGTACGTAATACCTGAAACAAAATCATTTTCACTAATATAAATAATATTGTGAGTAAAGAAATCATGTGATGTATATTTAATACATTCTGTTTAATATTGTGTAACCACACCTTCATACCGACCCATTCCCAGTACATACTGTTGGTTCTGTATCTGTCTGCAGGAAGAGCACGGTGGTGCGGCTGCTGTTTCGTTTCTATGAGCCCCAGCGGGGTAATATTTACATCGCAGGGCAGAATATCCGAGACGTGAGCCTGGACAGCCTGAGGAAGGCTTTGGGGGTCGTACCTCAGGTCTGCACTAGAACAATAAAACAAACATTAAAAATAAGTACTTATACCACGTAGAAAACTCCTCTGCATCTGGCCTTTCTCTACCACAAATAAAATATATTTGTTGTACGTAATAATTAGAATGCCTTTGCCTTTTAACTGGTGATTTTGTGCAATAATTAGCAGCGCAGAACACTGTGAGAGTAATTGTTAACAATAACTGTTAAGAATAAGGTGAATGCAATTATTTTCATTTTAAAGAGCTGGGAGGCTTATCAGAACAGATGGTTCATGAACATGTTTTTGTCGTTTGCTCTCCTCCTCTTTCCCCTCCTGTTCCTGCGTTTGTATCTGCAGTCCTCGTTCTCTCTCTGCTGCAGTAAAAATATTCTCTGAAGCCTCATTTTGTTCTCTAATTGTGTTGTTGTCAGGATGCCGTTCTGTTTCACAACACCATCTTCTATAACCTGCAATACGGCAACATCCACGCTACGCCAGAGGAGGTGTACCAAGTGGCACGTTTAGCGGGTCTCCATGATGCTATCCTCAGGATGCCCCATGGCTATGACACTCAGGTTGGAGAGCGCGGCCTCAAGCTGTCAGGTTTGCTGCACATTTATGTCTGCTGGATATGGTCTACCAGCCCTACAAGTCCGAGCTTCTCCATGAATGTTATACTAAACGGACAAATTGAAAACTCCACTCATAGCTAGATCCTATATGAACATTTAGGAAAGGCATGTGTTTTCTTTTGTTTAGTATTTTTCTTCAGTTTGCTCAATTGGAAGCTTCTTGTAAAAAAATCTTCTCATTGCTGTTTTTAACAGGGTATGTTGAACTGTTTATGTTTTAATGCATTCTTAAATGCAGTCCTAAATAAAGCTTTTACTTATAAATAAACAAATGAACGATAGGTGAATGATTAACAATTTTAGAGCAGCCCTCAGTTTTCTTAAAATATAGGTTTTGCAGTAAAATATAATTTATTTTTAAACATTTAACCAGTTTGGTGTTGATATTGTCTATTGACTCGGAATGTTAGTTATGCTGGCAAAAAATCTCCACCTGCCTGTTTTTTTTTTTTTGTCAACAACAGGCCATGATGTTTTTGCCTGCCTCTGTGTCAGTAAACTCTCACGGTCTATTGGACAGATTTTAATGAAACTCAGTGAAAATCTGTTGCGCTGGCAACCTTATAGAGTCACCTCGGTTCAAGTTGGCTGCTATAGCTCATCATCACATAAACGTGACTACAGCTCAGTCACCTTCTATAGATGTAGAGCTATAATTTCATGTGGTTATGACTACAACACAGACTTTGAAGGCTGACAGACTGCACACAAGATCATCCAGTATTAATCAACATTGTGCAGTCTCATTTTCAGGATTTAACCCAAATGGCTGTAACTCGATTTCTCTAGTTAGAAGAAAATGATTCAACTTTTGAGACCACTTGCTCTTGTAAAGGGTCAGAGGCAGCTGTCTGGCTCCCGCAGTAAGGGACACTAGGGCTGCAACAACGAATCGATAAATTCGATGAAAATCGATTACTAAAAGCGTTGGCAACGAATTGCGTCATCGATTCGTTGTGTCGCACAACTCTTCCAAAAGCGCCCACCCTTCCCACCCGCCGTTTCGCGCAGACCAGAGCAAGTCAGATCAGCGCGAGGGAGAGCCGCAGATCAGCGCGAGGGAGAGCCGCAGATCAGCGCGAGGGAGAGCCGCAGATCAGCGCAAGGGAGAGCCGCAGATCAGCGCGAGGGAGAGCCGCAGATCAGCGCGAGGGAGAGCCGCAGATCAGCGCGAGGGAGAGCCGCAGATCAGCGCAAGGGAGAGCCGGCAGATCAGCGCGAGGGAGAGCCGCAGATCAGCGCAAGGGAGAGCCGGCAGATCAGCGCGAGGGAGAGCCGCAGATCAGCGCAAGGGAGAGCCGGCAGATCAGCGCGAGGGAGAGCCGCAGATCAGCGTGGAGAGCCGGTACCGGCAGATCAGCGCGAGGGAGAGCCGGCAGACTTGCGCTGCTGCGAACCGGTTCCGCATTGTCGCACAGCGATCCAGGCAGCTGCTTCCAGCGCACGGTCCATTCTCAAAGTGGCGCAACCAAAAAACTATAATTAGCACACGATCGTTCATGTCCGCACATGTTCTCTATTTTCTGTCTTATTTGTGCCTGAAGCTCGCTACTGCGGAGCTCATCACCTGTGCTGTGGTGATGTCACCTCACGCAGCATCGAAAACGTGCTCTGCGCTTTTCGGTCAGGAGATCCCTTTGACCTGCTCAAAAGTAACTGATGAGGTGAAAAGGTAAGAATCCAGGCAACAGATTTTCTGGAGAATTAAGAGGAGATGCAGGAAGATGAGAGACAGACAGGACAGGAAAATAGTTCAATAAAAACAAGAAAACAAAACAAAGTGTTGAAAAGTAAAATGTAGGTAGATTCATCTCCACTACACGTTTTTACCAGTAAAAAACAATAAGTTCTACACATGTCATATTTATACATCTGATACAATTCAGATCACCTTCAAAACTCAGTCACACACCCAGGGCCGTTTCAAGACATTTTGGGGGCCAAGGCAAAATGCCCCCCCCCCCCCAATAACTGGGCTCCCCAGAAGCCTCTGTGTAATTCATGCCCTCTCCAGTAGTGTTAGTTATACGGTGTTTATAAAAGCCCCTCAGACATTACTGACATGTTCTAATATTATCAGATGAAAAACTAAATTATCAGACATGCTGTCTCATCTGCTTCTTTTATAAACTTGCAAAAAGTAACAAAACCATTTGAAAGCCACTATTTGTGGATTCTCTGAAAGTTTCCATGGAGTTTGTGACAACTTATTTTTTCATTGATCCTATCGTCTAATCTCACAGCTGAAACAAGCATCCTTAATAATCTGTGCACAGGAAGCTTACCGATGCTGTAGTAAAACAAAAGGTATAATAATTTATTATTAATAAAACCTTGTTGCAGCACTAAAGCAGAAAAATTAGATTTTGCATTAAATATGCAAAATATTTACATATGAATTGTTTTAGAGCCCTTTAATTGGCAGAATCTGATATTAATTTAGTTCTTACAAAAAATGGGTCCCAACATGGTTTGTGTGGCGTTGCCATAGAGTGACGTCATAGGCACAGATAGATCCCCTGTCCTCTTGTTTGGAAATGGAAATATGATCACCCTATATTAAACAAACTGTCCACCCGGGCTTTTGCGCTGCACAGAGACGCTTCGCTGCCTATGACTGAACGTCAGTTGAGAGTCAGTCTCATGCAGACTGACCAATGAAGAGAGGGCCTCAAGTTAAGACCCTCTCCTCATTGGTCAGTCCACACGAGGTGGGTCAAAGGTTACTCTGGGTGGGTTACGTGTTGTCAGGCATTCAAGTATTGAGTATATTTACTGCATATTACAGTAAAATATTCTGTATGTGACCACATTATGGTGATCCTTGGGTCGTGATGATGGAGCTCTTGAATATTGTTGCCCAGGGTACAACAAAGTGTTAATCTGGCCCTGGTTCCGCCGTCACATTCCCGCAGAAACTGGTTGATCACACCGGGGCCAGACTACTAGCATGTGGTTTTACAACCACAATGTCCTCAGAAGCAAAAACGCTTTTAAAAGGGAGGGATGAGTCCTAACTGTTGCTGCAGGCGTGTTGTGTGAGAGTGCAGTTATATACTGGTTAATATATTTTTGGGTTCAGTTGCTTTCATGTGGCCTAATGTGAGTCTATTTGGGATCATTGGAATGATCAGCAGCATTTCTTGATGTGACTTTATGGCAGTTGCCCAGGGCATCATCGCAAGGAGGATGGCATTCATTTACTTTTGTTTTATTTGGTATTTTTTCAGTCATTTTTGGAAATAGTGATCAATTTTGATTAATTCACAGCCTATGTTTAATTACATTTAAAATAAATGTCAACAGATGAGATCAAACAAAACAGATGAGAATTGCCCTTAAGCTGTTTAATTTGGACCAAGCATTTTAGGTCACAGATAGATGTAGCTTAGGGTCTCTGTCTATACACCTTATAAGACAATTTAGGTGATGGCATGTTGTTTTTCTGCTATTGAACTGTTTTCTAATAATGTTGTGTTAAATAAAGTGAAGGAAGGAGAGAAATAACGTTTCCCTAGCAGTTTTTAAAAATTTCCCCATGTAATCCGATTAATCGATTAATCGTGTCGAGACCCCATCCGATTAATCGATTATCCAAATAATCGTTTGTTGCAGCCCTAAGGGACACCCTCTTACCTGGACAGGTCACCAGAACCAGACAGACAAAAATTGATACTCACTCACATCTAGTGACAATTTTAACTCACCCGATTAACATGAACATGAAAACTCAGTGCAAAGACGCCAAGCCGTGTGTCTAACATGTAGCCTCGCTGCGAGGCAACAGTGCCACCAATTGCACCCCCGTGCAGCCCTGCATCACAAAATCTGGCATGAATAGCAGAGGGAGATGCTAGGCATTTAATTAGATTATTTTTATGACTGAATATTAATGTTAGCTGAGGAAATCCCAACCAAAGAACCAATAGAAGCACCAATCAGACCCTGTAGGCCCTTTCAGATGACTGATTTTTGTACACTTCTAGCTTCTTAGTTGGGATTTTAGAGTTTTACGATTTCTCTTTAAGAACTATAACTGACAAATTTCACATTTTCTCATTTGTTTCACTAGAAATCTACAAACAATAGAAAGATTTACTCTCGACGTTGGACACAGATATTAGCATTAGCATGAATTAAACTAATATATATTTATATCATTAGAGCAACTTAATTGTTACTTTACTCGTTTTATTTTTAACTGTAGCAATTACCGGTCCCACATGCAAAGATGGATTTGAATGTGTCACTAGTTAAATGTGATTACGGGACACAAAAAAAAAAAACGTTTTAGAGTGTCACGCTGGCCGGTCACTAGTAAAACCATTCAAGCTTTTAACTGGTTGGATCAAATCATCATCTGGTTGGTTTTTTTAGTCTCGGAAATAACCAAATTACGTAAACAAATGATATCACAACCTTTATTCCATTCAAGTATACACACACATAAAAATAAAAAATGATATGCTTTTGTATGAGATTTTTTTTAACAGTTAAAATCCTTAAAAAATTTATAGTCAGCTGCAAATATAAATTGTGTGGCATTTATTAAGGAAATTGTAGAGATGTTTGCGGTTTATTCAGTGACACCCAGATATGCAGATTATTTTGGCACAGAAACGTATCACTTAATTTATGACATGTTATGGAAATATGGTGGACTCACTGTCTAGTTTACCCTTAAACATTCAAGGCATGATCCCCTCTGCAGTAAGAGTGTATAACTCCTCAGTTTAACTGGTACTGGCATTGTCCTGGTACACAGTAACATCAATGCAATACTCTATGTGTTCAATACCTGTATAATATTGGGTTTACGTAGTAAGATCGTGTCCCTTACAGTATGCTGCATAGTTCTAGAACTCACATTTTTCATTTTTATTAGTGGTTTTTGGTGCTCGAAGGTTACAATAATAACTTACTGCTTATGTGTGTATATACATGTACCATTATTATTATTATTATTTATTT